AGGTAAGTAAAATTTTGTCTGCTTCAGCAATTTGGGCCAATGGCATTCGGTTCGGTTCGGTTCGGCACTTCAGAACATTTGGTGGCAGTCCTGGCACTGGGAGGCGGAAGCCCTATAGATGTGTAAGTGGTTGTGGTGGCAGTCCTGGCACTGGGAGCCCCCTGCCCAACCACTTACACATCTATAGGGCTCCCAGTGCCAGGACGGCCACCACAACCACTTACACATCTATAGAGCTCCCGCCTCCCAGTGCCCAGGACTGCCACCACAACCACTTACACATCTATAGGGCTCCCGCCTCCCAGTGCCAGGACTGCCACCAAAAGTTCTGAAGTGCCGAACCGAACCGAATGCCATAGGAGAACAGGAGAAATAATTCAAGACAGTTTTGTTTTCAGTTAGGATATTTCAGTCTAAAATTTAACATTTAAAATTTGCTATAATTATATCATACACCACTCTGCTACAAGGCTTGTGACGCACAAAACTACAGACAGAGACTGTAAGCTGTCGGCAAGATGTGCAAGACGACGGCAGGTGACATCATCATTGTATGGAGGCAGGTGAAATCATCATTGTGTGACGGCAGGTGACATCATCATTGTGTGGAGGCAGGTTAAATCATCATTGTGTGATGGCAGGTGACATCATCATTGTGTGACGGCAAGTGACATCATCATTGTATGGAGGCAGGTGAAATCATCATTGTGTGACCATGCAGTAGATGCATCAGTGTGAGCGATCTTAGGTTAATATCTGATCCAAGATCACTCAAAATGGCCGTGTAAATTTGGGACCCCCTGTCTGTCCGTTCCACACAAAGCGTACCTGAGACCCTCTCCTTCCGAGGAGTACTGCTTGCACCATTCCAGCGTGAATGAGTCTGTGTACTCTGGATGGGTCGTGGTCCAACGTATAACAGCGGTATCCCAGCACACCGTGCACTCCTCTGCCTTAATTACAGGTGTAGATGGTGCTGTTAATGAAAACATCAAAGATTATTGCAATAAAGTTCAATCCAGCTAACTTGGGTTTATTTTTATTGATATCATAGTTTGTACACCCAGAGCAATTTATTTGTATTTATTTAAGAGCACTTATACTGATCATATTCTGATAGATGGGGAGATATATACACTGAACAAAATAATAAACGCAACACTTTTGTTTTTCCCCCCATTTTTCATGAGCTGAATGCAAAGATCTAAGACTTTTTCTATGTACACAAAAGGCCTATTTCTCTCAAATATTGTTCACAAATCTGTCTAAATCTGTGTTAGAGAGCACTTCTCCTTTGCCGAGATAATCCATCCACCTCACAGGTGTGGCATATCAAGATGCTGATTAGACAGCATGATTATTGCACAGGTGTGCCTTAGGCTGGCCACAATAAAAGGCCCCTCTAAAATGGCCAGTTTTACTGTATTGTGTGGAACCGAGGAGGTCCGAAAATAGTCAGTACCTGGTGTGACCACCATTTGCCTCATGCATTGCAACACATCTCCTTAACATAGAGTTGATCAGGTTGTTGATTGTGGCCTGTGGAATGTTGGTCCAATTTGCTGGATATTGGCAGGACCTGGAACATGCTGTTGTATACGCCGATCCATAGCATCCCAAATATGCTTAATAGGTAACATGTCCGGTGAGTATGTTGGCCATGCAAGAACTGGGATGTTTTCAGTAGACATGTGCAATTAGTTTCGGTCCGATTTTAAATTTGGCTGAATTTCGGTAATTTGCCGAATTTCCCTAGTGCCAAACCAAACCAAGTTGCCAAAGTCCCGAATTTCGGAAGTTCTGAAACTAACCAAATTGCTGAATTTCCGAAGTGCCGAAGTGCTTTGGATTTCTGAAAAGTGGCAAAATAGGAGAGGGAGGTAAAATTAAGGGAATGATGACAGGAATCTAACCTTACTCCTAACCCTAGCCCTAACCCTAACCCTTACCCCAACCTTCCTCTAACACTAACCCTACCACAAACCCAAACCCTACCCCTCACCCAAACCCTTACCCCACCCTTCCTCTAATCCTACCCCTAGTAGGGTTAGGGGTAGGGTTAAGGAGAGAGGTAAGGTTAGGGGTAGGGTAAAGGGTAGGCTTAGGGGTAGAGGTAAGGGTAGAGGTAGGGAAAGGGTAAGGGGTAGGGTTAGGGGTAGGGTAAGAGTTAGGGGTAGGGTTAGGGAATTGGCGAAGTCCTGAATTCCTGAAGTGCCGAAGTCTCGAATTCCAGGAATTGTGTACAGATCCTTGCAACATGGGGCCATGCATTATCATGCTGCAACATGAGGTGATGGTCGTGAATGAATGGCACAACAATGGGCCTCAGGATCTCCTCACAGTATATCTATGCATTCTAAATGCCATCAATAAAATGCACCTGTGTTTGTTGTCCATAACATACACCTGCCCATAACATAACCCCACCGCCATGGGCCACTCGATCCACAACATTGACATCAGCAAACTGCTCACCCACAAGACGCCATACACGCTGTCTGCCATCTGCCCTGTACAGTGAAAACCAAGATTCATCCGTGAAGAGAACACCTCTCCAAAGTGCCAGATGCCATCAAATGTGAGCATTTGCCCACTCAAGTCGGTTACCACGACAAACTGCAGTCAGGTCGAGACCCTGATGAGGTCGACGAGCATGCAGATGAGCCTACCTGAGATGGTTTCTGACAGTTCGTGCAGAAATTCTTTGGTTATGCAAACCGATTGTTGCAGCAGCTGTCCAGGTGGCTGATCTCAGACAATCTTGGAGGTGAAGATGCTGAATGAGGAGGTCCTGGGATGGTGTGGATACTCGTGGTCTACGGTTGTGAGGCCGGTTGGATGTACTGCCAAATTCTCTGAACGCCTTTAGGGATGACTTACGGTAGAGAAACGAACATTCAATTCACGGGCAACAGCTCGGATGACATTCCCACAGTCAGCATGCCAATTGCACGCTCCCTCAAAACTTGTGCCATCTGTGGCATTGTGCTGTGTGATAAAACTGCCCATTTTAGAGTGGCCTTTTATTGTGGCCAGCCTAAGGCACACCTTTGCAATAATCATGCTGTCTAATCAGCATCTTGATATGCCACACCTGTGAGGTGCATGGATTATCTCGGCAAAGGAGAAGTGCTCACTAACACAGATTTAGACAGATTTGTGAACAGTATTTGAGAGAAATAGGCCTTTTGTGTATATAGAAAAAATCTTAGATCTTTGAGTTCAGCTCATAAAAAATGGGGGCAAAAACAAAAGTGTTGTGTTTACAATTTTGTTCAGTGTAGTTAGATGTACCAGCTAAAAATTTTTTGAGGATCCACTGGCTTTAGTCTAAATTTGTAGCATTTTTATACTAAGAGAGGGAGTTTAAAGGAGTTCACGGAGAAAAGATTATTTGATTCTTTAATAAGAAAGATTCCAAAAGCAATATGTATTATGTAGGTTAAGGCTGGCTGGGTGTTTCAAAAGTTCTGGGGATCTACGTTTTGTCATCCACGATCTAAGAAAATACAGTTCGATCTCTTCATCTTTCTAAGCACCCCTCCCAGCAAGAAAGGCAGCAATTAGATAAAATACATTTAAACATACTATTAAAAAACATACTTTTAACATAATCAGAGGGAACAATCTCTGTTTTTGTACTGTAATAAAAAATGACAAATGGAAATTTGGTAACAATGCACATTGTTCTAATTGTGTTATGGAAGCCTGTGATACCATTTTTTTAATACCAAGAATAGTTCTGTAATAATAAAGTGGACATGGTCTTGAAGACTTTTTTGAAATCCGTGCCAGTCCCTTGCTAATCCAGGAAAAGATGCCTCAAACGTCCAGCCAAAATTTTTAAGGGCTTAAGTCGAAATCCGAATCTTTGCGTTCAATGCCAGCAGTTAAATGGAGCCAAACTGTCCTTTCTCTAGAAAATGTGTTACAGAGAAACTCAGACAGGCCATTACTGGCGAATAAAAACCATAAAAATGTGCTCTAGACAGCATTCGGCACAAAGTGAGCATGTGTAAGACAGGGGAAGCAAGGACATGTCAAGGGCAAAAGCAGAGTCACATTAGAAAGTTGTTCTTGGATGAATGTTTCACACGGAGAGCATTCCAAGCCGCGTATCAGAATTCACACATGTAAACTACTCGCAAACTTGTCAGGACATTCCCTTCCTTATTGAGGAACCAAATATGATAGAAAGAAAAATAACTGATAAATAACCTTCACGGTATCTCTAAAAAAGGACTATAACTGCGATATTGTATTTTGTATATTGTTCATGCATAGTACAGCATACTGAACAGCAGTGTGAAGTTTGTCACCTAACAATTCTGGTCAAATTTTAGTCGACTAAAATGTCCAAGATTTAGTCGACTAAAAATAGACTAAAACTAACACAATTCAGATGACTAAAATATGACTAAAACTAAAATGGGCTTTTAGTCAGAAGACTATGACTAAAACTAAATAGAAATTTGCTCTGCACACTGCACAGAGGGGCTGTGGAAGGGGCAAAAGAGACAGACCCGGGGTTGGGAGAGAGACACCGAGATTGGCTGGGAGGACACAAAGAGACTATGACTACAACTAAATTGAAATTTGCTGCCAAAACTAACACTGCTGTACAGGGCAATTTTGGGCAACAGATCGTGAAAACAGGCAAACTGCAGTTATCCACAGGACTATGACGAATGATTGCCAGATGCAGGAAATGCAGCTTTCTAAATACTGGACCCAGGCATGAGCGAGGCGTTCTTAAATGTGCTTTATTGATGGAATACGTGTCCAAAGCCGAAATCAGATGCTACTTTTAGAAACAAAGCGTTTTTAGGTTTTTCTTTGAAATCCCTGTAACTTAGCGTTCTGTAATATAAATAATAAATATATAAAATTGTAGCACAATGTATGAATGTTCCAAGTGTGGAGTCCTTTTTGCCATACATACCAGTCCTGAAGGAAGCCCGATCACTGGGGAAGCTGCACCCCGTGTTATTTACAGCCATCACCCAAACGCTGTAACATTTATCTGGCTCCAGGTCCTCCAGAATACAGAAACTTTCCTTCACCATCACTCGGTACTCCTCCAGCAAGCCTGGAACAGTCAGACAGGGATCTCACTGTAATGGACACAGCATGGCATGCATCACACACAGATATACTGGGGCTATAAGGAGGCGCCAGTCTATATCATCACACAGAACATAATCATATATTGTCCAACAAAGTTCACACAATCTGGCGCCTCTGATACTAAACCAGGAATGGCAGGAATTCAACGTTTAAGCCAAAACAGAAAATATTTCCAATTCTGCAATTTTGGACTAAGATGTGAAATTTACTGTGAATTTTCATGAACGTAGGTCAATCCAAGTGTGCGCAGAAAATGTGTTTGCTCATTAAATAATATTTCTGAAAGAATATCCATAAGAGTTTGATTATTTTTTAATCTCTTCAGCATTTTAAATGTAAAAATGATCAATGTATAAAATGCTAATAACAATTAGCAGTGTCGGGTAACGTTGTGCCCTCCATGCCCACTGGGCCGCTTACCATAGTTCTCTCTGTTTCCTTGAGGTTCCTCCATGCAGTACACCTGGAAGCAGTCAATAACATCCTCCTGGCTCATAGACCAATAAACAGTAATGGTGGTGCTGGTAGCAGAACTGAGCTCCTGTGCCTTTAATTTTGGTGTGTGAGGAACTGCCGTAAAAACAAAACATTGTTACAAGATTTTCATCTGCCATTTGTGTTACTACAAGCAGCCACCTGACAGTCTGGGTTCCGTTCGCCAATAAAATATCAGAGAAATGCAAAAAAAAAATAGTAGATGGGAAAAATAAAATTATATGTGGAAATTCTGTCCTGTAACTGGGCGCCGCCATCTTAGCTCCCTGTCAGTCATTGTTAAATGTTCTGTCCTGTAACTAGGCACCGCCATCTTAGCTCCCTGTCAGTCATTGTTAAACGTTCTGTCCTGTGACTGGACGCCGCCATCTTAGCTCCCTGTCAGTCATTGTTAAACGTTCTGTCCTGTAACTGGGCGCCGCCATCTTAGTTCCCTGTCAGTCATTGTTAAACGTTCTGTCCTGTAACTGGGCACCGCCATCTTAGCTCCCTGTCAGTCATTATTATAAACTGTTCTTTACACCTGGCAGTCAGCATAGAGAAAGGATACAGAGGATAGAAATTAAACAATGTTTCTATTTCACCTCTTCATTTGCATTGTGTGCCCTGGTTATGCCTTGTTTGTACTTAATAGTGATGTTATTTACTTAATCATGAATTTAAATTTAAAAGAAAATATATAATTTAATGAAAAAAATGTTAACACAAGTTCTAGGTGATTTTCAATGTTTTACCCAGTGGTGTAAATTGCAGAGAAGTAACCATTTCTTTCTAAACTGTTTGATTGTTAGTGTGATCTGGATCTACCACGGGTTCGGTTTTGACCCACAGATTGATGATGTATCCATTCATCGCTCAAATAAGTAATAATAAAAAGTAAGAGGAAGCGGACTGTCTATGGTTTCTTAATGCCAGCTGTCTCCTGATATGTCATATGGAGCTGCCCAGGGCTCCCTTTTCCTCACAAAGCTCTGTGAGGTCCTTCTCCATCCATCCCTAAAGCTCCCCTCTAATCTCTCTCAGCTCCTCTAGCATCAGAGCCTCTATAGGCGCCTGTATATCCATGGAAGTACCTCTGTTGACCATGGTGGAAGGAGCCAGCTACGAACCAACACGACCTCAGTGTTACTTTATATCATATTCCCCCTACTATGTACTAAGATGTATGTTGCTTTGTCAAAGTTAACTCAAAACTCAACTGAAACAAGCAAAGTATTTTCCATTTTGAACAATTAATTTGTTTTTCAATATGTTGATTTTTCTTGCGCATTCAATTAAACATATAGAAACAAAAAAAGCCAAAAGAACAATTTACTTTTTAACGCACTTTTGTAAATGATCGCCCCTGTTCTACAAGGTTATGTCAATCCAGAGCTCGCAAGCAGCTAGTACACAGGCAAATTCTTAATCCAGTAAATATAACTTAATTAGCATTAACAATTTAATAATTCATTTCAGAAATAATTTATTTATTCAATATAAATAAATTGAAAAACAGAACACGAATGAAAATGTAATATAGGCAATAACAGGTATTTTATTTGCTATATCCCTGAAGTCTATGTGATCCACTATAAATCAGCATGCAGATACATCTCCAAACAGGGCCATTTGGGCACATTGAGTATTAGCCTAAATCCTAGCCGGGCTTATCAAACCCTTTATCTGCTCACTAGGGCGCTCCTGGGAATCTCACAGTAATAAGAGGATATAAAGGTTTATATTGCACTATGAGTCACTGCAGGGAACACATTGATTGATTGCCTTAATGTATTGCAGAACTTAATACTCGGAAAGTATTTTTATAAAAATAAAGGGCATTACTTGAAATACTACAACCCTGTACCAGCCGTGGGATGGTTAGTGTAATGAGACGCGGGGGAGAGTGCTACCTACGATGACATTGACAATGTGCAAGAATCAGCAATATCAAATCGTCATTGTCAACTATTGTAGGTTTCATTTACTGCCGCTCAATGACAAACACCACTAAGCAAAATATCTTTATTATTCTCCTGCTTAAATAATATTTTCTAAAGACTGTAAATGGGCTGAATTGTGTATTCACCTAGTAACCATAGGTGTTGTTGTTGGGGGGCAATGGTGTTGATGTCCTGGATTTTGGACACTTTAGCCCCAGATCTCAGATGGTAGTGGGAATCAGAAGCATGTTAGTGCTTTTATTTATTATTTATTAGCTGCACTACTACAATAAGCTGTAATGATACAATAAGCTGTAATGATGGAATAAGCTGTAATGATACAATGAGCTGTAATGATAGAATAAGCTGTAATGATACAATGAGCTGTAATGATAGAATAAGCTGTAATGATGCAATAAGCTGTAATGATACAATGAGCCATAATGATAGAATAAGGTGTAATGATACAATAAGCTGTAATGATACAATGATCCGTAATGATAGAATAAGGTGTAATGATACAATGAGCTGTAATGATAGAATAAGCTGTAATGATGCAATAAGCTGTAATGATACAATGAGCTGTAATGATAGAATAAGCTGTAATAATACAATAAGCTGTAATGATACAATGAGCTGTAATGATAGAATAAACAGTAATGATAGAATAAGCTGTAATTATACAATGAGCTGTAAGGTTACAGTGAGCTGTAATGATACAATGAACTGAAATGATAAGTGTGGCGGAACCAGCCTCGCCACTGGGCATTGGAGAAGACTGATTGCCAGCCTCCTGCCATGTGACTATGGCCCCTGGGATGTATTGCCTGCTCTCCTGTACTGCTGAGGTTTGCTACCAACTAGGTGGATTTGGCTATGGAGCTTGTCTAGTGCCCTCTGTTGGTAGCAACAGCAATATGCACAACCTGAATAGCAAGACTAGTTCATTTGCATATTTGGGTCGATTTGCATATTGCTAATTCTGCAGGCACATGAGATATTTTCTGTTAATTATTGTCTCCCCCACCTCTTTAAAAATATGCCATTGTGTTATAATAAGTCACTGTATGTTGCCTGCTATAATTTGACTGTTTGTAATTTTGTTAAGTTTTCACAGCAATGTTAATGTAATGACCATATGGGCTAGTTCCAAGGAAAATAAGGTTTTAGTCCTGTCTCTTATTGGGGAATTGCTATATCACTACAAGGTACTGCTTTGCTCTGCATACTCCCTTAGCTAATCATGACTAAGCTCTTTTAAGAGCTTGTTCTTGCTTCACTCTCTTGTCGTAGGTCTAGGGTGAGTAGGAGACGGCGAGACCCCAACCAAGCTGTGGTGGTTCGTGAGGTGTATGGTGGTTGTGGTGTCTGGTGGAGCGCTTGGAGCCCTCTGTAAGCGCTAGGAGCATCCTTCAACGGAGGTACCCAGTCGGGGTGCCAGGCAATCCGTTACAATAAGTTATATAAATAGTTATATAGTTATTATAAATGTAATACTAAGTTAAACCTATCTCTTACCTGGGGGACATTTCTGTGTATTCACGTCTTCTTTAGTAGATTCCCCCGAGCACTTTTCAAAGAGTGATTTGGCGTTGGGCATCTTGTCAAGTGACAACATATTCTCCAGAGCTTCCATTAGCCTGCATGAAACACCAAGACCCCATAACTCACACTGCCAGCCCACAGGACCACCTTATAGGGACACACCACTGGAGGCGGGAGGGGGCTTTCTCCAACATATCTTAATCCATGAACAAAAAGAGTTTAGAATGTTTGTGTGTTAGCTAAACCAGGCGAGAGAAGTGACTACGCTGTGTTTTCCTCATTGAAATGAATAGGAGCTTGTGTTGCATGCGCAGTGCAGTCACATGGGGCCATGTGCCATACAGAGCATACAGCATGCTGACTGATAGAGTGAGAGATATCTCCAGGAAGGGAGAGGAGTAATTACTGAAAGATAATACGTATCAATCACTGTGAATGCAAGAAGCGCTGTATAGCTAGAGCGCCTAATACAAACACTGTCATATAATGTATCTCTCTTCAAAATAGTGGTCAGACGCAGTAAAGTACGGGGGGGTGGGGAAGGTGGAGGGCACGTACAGTGCAATTTTTGCACCGGGGCCCGTGGTTTCAGGTCAGAAGGTTTAACCCCTTAAGGACACATGATGGACATATTCTGTCATGATTCCCTTTTATTCCAGAAGTTATGTCCTTAATGGGTTAAGATATAAGACAAACATAACAAAATGGCAGATTATCTTGTCGCCATTTGATTAGTGCTGAGCACATACACACAGTTAATGCTATGTTAATGCTGAGTAAAATGCAACGGAGGCTATTCACTGGAACGGATTCTTTATCTATTCTGTCAAGTGTTTTATCTGCACATTGTGCTAACTGGACACCTTGGAAATGTGTAGATTACAAGATATTTAAAAAAAAGAACCTTGTTCTAACAGCCTGCATGCTAGCTGTTTGATAGGTCTATTTATTTATTTGCCTCACCCAACATCCTTGATAATATGATTAAAGGGACACAACTTAGCATTTGTGGAGAGTTTATGGCACAGAGAGTACCCTGTGAGCACTCTGAGAGCAGCTTAGAACTGCAGTGATTCACAAAAAGAGTGCAGTGCCATAAACCAGCCCGTGAGGAAGCCAGAATCTGGGCTGTCTCTAAGAATTTGGAATATTTACTAAAGTGAACTTTAAATTTAAATCCACAGTAGCCAAATTGGAGGAATAGCTGACTCCGAGAATTTTTCCAATTCAGCTATTTTGAAATTCAATTTGTTGGATCTGCAAGGAGATACGTACGAGACAGGTTTTAGGTTGATTTCTATAATTCTGACTGTCTGCATCCGGCCTATCAGAGACCGTCTCATTATTTACACCATGACGAGACCGTGTGACAGACTTGGGGACTGATATTGCGCAGTGTCCAGTAAATAGCCTCCATGGAATGCATGCATTAATTGAACTCTGTCCACACCACGCCAGCAAGTTTGGCAGTACCTCTTATTCATCTCATCGTGTAACTAAAAAAAGAAAAATACGTCTGTGAGTCGGACAGCGCTAAATAGATTGTGCTCTGACAGTATTACTTGGCTAGCAGCTGGCAAGATCAGACACATCACAGCAAAATGATTTAAACAGACATGGAAAATATTACTTACAAACAAATGGAGTTTTGATTTTTAGGAGAGATTTACAAAAATTATTTATTTTAGCCTAAATTTTAAATTTGATTTTCAAGTCACTACGATTCAGTGTTTATTGTATAAATCCCACCGAACATATTGTGATAAATGTAACAATAATGGTAAATAGTGATAACAAGAACTAAATTGGCAAATCACAGATCAAAACATCATAAAATTGGGAAAATCTAAATTGGTCCTGTGTAGTGACTGTGGTTATAAGATTCTGAATACAATGCAAAGCCTTAACGGATTAATCACTAAAGTGTGAATTGATGGGAATTCAAAAGTAAAAATGAGCCTGGGGCGACATATGGCCACCAGTGGAGACTGATCCGTAGAGAAAGATGAGACACCTGCCCAGTTTTGTTGCAAAATAATAAAACAAATTATTATAAAAATTCTATCTATTGGCATAGTAAGGGCTACTGATAAGTGTGTTAAAAATCGTGTCAGAATGTTACAGCCCAAGCAGTCTGGGGGGCCACGGGCAGCGGTCACCATCTTTAAACTTCACCAGCCACTTATGGCCCCCGCTTATTGCATGTGAATGGTTACGGGAAGAAATGGGCACCTTGTATCGTGCACAAGTTGTGAGTTTATATTGTACATTAATGAGGCTGGCGTTTTAAACAGATATTGGGGGATATACAGACTCCTTGTAGTTTATGTCATTGAGTTTTGACTTTATATAGTATATAAATGATGATCCCTCACCAGATACAGCATTCGCACAACGTCCACCAGGCCACCAGTGACCAGCCATCGCAGACAGTCATATCATACAAGCATGAAATTGGCACCATTTCCCCCTTCCAAAAGGTAAGTAGGAGGAGGGCAAAAATATTTGGACAAATATTGGAATGTACAATAATGTGCACATAGGCTCCCAACCAATATCTAAAAGGTGTCTCTGGAGCAAGAAATTGTGCAAATACAAAAACCTTTTTTATCAACACCTAAAAAGTGCGAGTGCAATTAAGATGGTGTATATTTACCGTATCATGTATTACAATCACTTACAATTTTAGTATTGGAACATAAAAAGGAATAAAAGAGAGAGAAAAAAGATATGCATAGTGTAGTATTTAATCCAAATAACAAATATTAAAAACAACAAATAGTGGCTTTTATAAGTGACCCTTAAGGGCAAAGCTATTTAAGCACAATTTGGATTTTGCTGTATTTTTGTAATTGCCTGTCTTTTGTTTCTAAGATTTGTTATTTGTATTAAATACTACATCATACCTGTCTTTTTCTCTCTCTCTTATTTATGCCATTTCTATGTCCCCGGCCAGATGCGATTGCAATAAGCTGATAACACTCAGGGCAATCACCCCATGCACAAAGCCCTGACGGATCACTCTGTGTTTGGCTGTCGTGAGCGGGGTCAACCTGACAGACTTTTTGCTACATTTCTTATTTGGCCTGGAAAATGTATTTCCTGAGTGTCCTTGTGTCTGGAGTGTTTGGCGTGTGTAGCGGGATCACCGCTAAACCAGGAAGTGTGATTGTGTATTTGCTTATGTTCCCCATGTATTCATGATTATTTGTGTGTTTTACCTGCTCCCTGTACGGGGACCACCCCAAGATCCCAATTAGAATGTTTAGTTAGAACGTTCACATCTCGCTAACGAGGTGTGAAAAATCACAAAATGCAAGGAAAGCCTTGACGCGTGCCGACCCTGTGTGGCGGCCCGTTCATTAGATGAATGCCATCCAGGGGGTGTATTTGTGGATTGCTTCCCACCTCGTTTAGCTCTCGAATGAGGACCTCCCCAGTGCCCCTTGGAGTGTACGCACCAATCAATTAAAATGTTAACATCTTGCAAAATAAGTGTGAACCACAAGGGAAGTAATTAATGAGTGCTTCTCTGGGTGGCCGCCATTCGTTCAGATGAACGTCAGCCAGGGGGATTATTCCTGTCCTGAAAAGAGACGCTTCCCTTGCCTGGTTTCACCTAGGTGCCCCGTGAATGGAGCCGGTTCGTGTCGGTTATCATTGTGGGGGTGCCTGAGATTGCTGGGGACACTCTAAGGGGACAATGGTGGTTTGGCGGGCTTTCTGTGCCTGAGAGCCCAGGAGGCAGAAGTCTTCCTGCGCTGGGATTCCCAGGTACAGAGAATCCTAGGAAGAAGACCCCCTTGCCTCCCTGTATTTGGGAGGCGGGAACTGGGGACAAAGGGAATAGAGTTCCGGTAACTCGCACAGGTCCCTGGGAGGTGGAGGACCCTGGGAGGGGACATAAAATGTTGGGAACAGGGGACAAAGGGTCAAGGGTTCCGGTACCGGCCCACGACCCGTGGGAGGGGACATTGTCTTTTACCTGTGATCCACCCGTTTAAGTAAAGAATGGATGGCGCTATAGATAAAGTCAATCGTCTCTCTACTAACTGATTCACGTCACCATTTTCATGATGGCTTCTATGATTCGGGGATAAAACATTTCTCATTATTGTGGCATTTTATGTAGCCGAACATATCATTCAGGGTGAGATATAGAACACGTTGACTTACGCTAAGAAACACAACAGGATCTGTCTCTTCCAGCTCCTTTATGGTTCTCTCCATGATTTCTTTAGACAGGTCAATGTTTTTCTGGAAGTTAACAATCTGATCCTGCAGATATTCCAGTTTCATCTTCTTCATTCCCTCAAAGCTTTCTCTCTGCTCTGTGTGCTGAGCAAAGACTTTCTGGATCATCTCTTCATTCTGCTCTCGTAAAATCTTCTCTGTTTCTGTGTAATTTTTCTGCAACATATTAAATAATTTAACCATGAGTTACAGAAAATCTAAATCCAGAGGACTGACAACCAACCAGGACCGATGGTCAGCAAATAAAAAGAGTTGCCCTGAAGTATGTATAATTCACACGCTCCACGAAGGAATCAGTTCATTAGAGGGATACTCTAACCACCAAAACAACTTTAGCTTAATGAAGCAGTTTTTGTGTATAGATCATGCCCCTGCAGTCTCACTGCCCAATTCTCTGCCATTTAGGAGTTAAATCACCTTTGTTTCTGTTTATGTAGCCCTAGCCACACCTCCCCTGGCTATAACTAAGCCTACATGATAAAATGGTTTCAATTTCAATCAGACTTTACAGCACATTGTGTTGACTTTAGAAGTTCTTATCTCCGGCTTGGTTAATTGAGCTTTAATCACAAACAGGGGTTTCCTGCAGGTTATTAACATAGCAGGAAATAATAAATAAATAAAAGATAATGGAGTTACTTGTTTGAAGCAGTGTCTAAAGGCACCGATCTATGGCTTTCTCATATAACTATCGCTCAGTTCAGCCTTTCTTACGTATTTCTTCTGATCTGAACTTTAGCTGCACATCTATAATTGCTGCTTTAAGAACATTCTCCATAACAACACAATAGATAAACAGTTTAGTATGAAGAAACTCACTTACTTCAACGTCATTGAATAGGGCTTCCACTCTGCTGACAAAATCCTCTGTTTTCAATGAGTTTTCTTGAAGTTTATCATATAAATCCTCCAAATTGGTCTAAAAAAAGAAAGTTAAAAATCATTCGACTCACCCCGATATTATAGTATCATAATCCCACTAAATAATACTTATAGTATAAATTATAGTATCATAATTCCACTAAATATGGAATTGCAAAGAACTGAAAAGTCAATTGCAAAATTTAGGTCAAAATAGCTGTTTTGGAAGAGTTTCTCTAAATCTAGAGTATAATTTTTGTAATTTCATTGCAATTTAGCATTTAGTTTACAATCCTCGATAAGTCTACATCGGTGTTTCTTAAAGGGTCACAGCCCGCTGTTGTGGTTTATGGTTCCTGGAGAACCATGGAGCTGTCCCCTGGTAATGGAGCACACCGTTTGGTAACAGTTTGCCCTCTTACCTGGTCTGCCAGGTGTGGAGGGTCCTCTCTTGCTGGCTGTGACATCCATCCAGTTACTGCAGAGCTACAGAAGCTGGATGCTGATCCTGACGCGCTTTCATTGGCTGAGAGGGTCAGCTGACATTCTGTGCATGGAAATTTGCATTAGCAATCCCAGAACTCTGTTCCGGGCCGGCTAATGATGCCCAAGGAGAGTTACACCTCCAGCAGCCAAGGGGTTAAACTCTGTGTGCAGTGTTTCCAGACACCATGACCACTTCAAATGACTAAAGTGGTCATGGTGCTTGGAGTAACCCGTTACCTTCAAATTTTGGATACAAAATCGGGTTCCCATATTACTATAGTGGCTGGAACCAGCATATATAATATTAATCACACCCCAAGTACCAGCCCACGATAAATTGACTACTGTGGCTGCACTGTTAGTTGCCAATTGAGCCCACAGACACTGGGAAGAGTCTAAAGAAAAGGCTTTGCTTAGTTTTTTTATATTACAGCTGAGGAATGGGTCTCCAAGCCAATGTTGTGAATAGAATTTGGGTTCCAGTAAAAAACAAAAAAATAAAACCCTGGTCTACACTACAAGCCAACCAACTTCGCCAGTTCTACTCTGCCATGCTTTTTAACTGCACCGTGTATCTCACTTGTTCTTCTCCCCTTTAGAATATCAGTCCAGAGACTGTTCCACTTTAATAGTTATTGAATCAATAAAAAACATTTCCTATATCTTACGTTAAGCACAATCCGGCAAAATACAAATCATCAAAACATGAACAGAAACATTGAAAACCTGTTTAACCACCAATTAAAAGACTTTTTATAACAATTAGTCAATAACCCAAAATAATGTTAAGTGCGAACAAATGGAACAACACAGTGTTAACTAATAATCCCTCATTAATCAATCACACCATTAGAATTCCCAATAACTACAATATATCACAGCAAAATCAATAACATCACCAATACACATTTGCACAATACCTGTTTCTATATTAAAGAAACACACACTGCAATGTCTATTTGGAACTTAATGGGTTAATAATCACTTGTCACCTATTTGCCTCATCAATACATTGACTTTCCATAGCCATAAATCTATGAAGTTATCAAAAACACCTGAACAGGGTTTCTGTTGTTTATACTGTGATATCGACCTATCAATCCTGACGTTAATAGACAGATAGACAGACAGGCAGACACATACAGACAAATCGAATAGTACGTAATGTTAGGCAATGAGAGGCTCAATGAAAACAGAATGGAATAGAAAGTCAGGAGAAAAAAAATACACAGCAGAAAAATAAAATGACAAGAGAGAAGAGAAATAAGGAAGAGTGTGAGGATGTGCTACGTAATGGTAGCTGTATGGATTATAGAAAGAATGGGTGACGAGGTTTGCTATATATGAGGAGACAGACAGAAAGCGGGGAGAGACGTAAGATTACACAGTGAGAGAGAGAAAATACATTGTAATACATTGTCCTGGTACAATTAACATATTAAACTTCACATATACTCAGTGAAGGACTTACTGTCATCTCAGTAACCGCGTTGTCTATCGTCGTGACATCATGGTCCTTATGGTCACCAAAAATCTTATCAATGGCCAATATGGGTATTTTACAGGTATAGCAGTAAGTGTCAATCTGAGCTGCTTTTCTGTCTGTTAGAGACGGTTCCGATAACTCTGCTGATTTTTCATGCTGTATAATCTCAAAACCAGACTCTTCGTGGTCCATTGGGCCACCTTGACCAACATCCGTAACCATTTCAAACTCACCATCACTGTCATGGCCCAAATCTTCAAACTTAAGCTCCTCATCTAGCTCATCTAGATCATCCTGACTTATGACCACAAAGTCCAAGGATTTAGCTATGTCACTTTCTAGGTTCTGGTTTTCTCCTTCTTGTGAAACACCTGCTTTCAATCCATCCTTGTTCAGTAATCCTACATTTTGCCCTTTTGCTTCTTTGAGTATGGCCTCAACAATGTCAATCATTTCTTGAGGTTTTTTGTCTCTTTCTTCTTCCTCCGAAAACTGTTCATATACCTGGATGCCAACGGGTGGAAACATTTCAACATGTTTTTTACCCTGTGCTGCGTTTTCGTATTCTACTTCTTCTGAATGTGGAAGGTCATAAAACTCTTCGGTGTGTTCTCTTTGGTGATGCTTGAATTTGTCAAATGGTATTTCATCTTTAAGGTTATACTTTTCAAAATATATTCCTGTTCCATCATCATCAGATATTCTGCTGTGAAACGAGCCTTCAGAACCATTGTTTTCTTCATCAGAGGGGTTGTTCTCATCTTTTGTAGCTTTTTCATAAAGATCTTCATAGAGAAATGCTAAAGCGGGTGGTTCTTGTAGGAGCTCTGGGTTTATTGGATAGGAAGTAGGAAAGAAGAAAGATTTTGATAACACTCCTTCTTCAGCATTAAACAATGTTGTTACATCTGGTTTCACAGCATCTTCTTTTGAATTATCTTTCCCATCCCTTGGACTTTCCTGTAATGAGTTTCCAATGGGATTAACAAATTCATCTTCACTTTTTGTCACACCATAGAAGGATTCATCAAAATTCTCTATTAAGTAATAGTCATATTCGTCAGATTTTTCTTTTTCTGTCGTAGGGTAACACGTCTCTTGCTTAATATTAACCATTTTAGCTTCCAAGGATGATTTTCCCATTTCACATTCAATAGGAATTTTGTCATCAACTAAAGTAAATTTCTCAAAGTAATCAACCTCGTTTGTACTTTTTTCTGGATTAAGTTGCTTTGTGTTCTCTGAAGTGTCTTTGTTCATGTTTTCCAAACCATTAGCATTTTCTCCTGGTTGTGCTCTTATTTCACGATTTCTTTTCAAATTGGTGTCACGTAATACATTAGACTTGATGGATGAAAGATCAGATTGGTTACTGGGCTTTGTCGAAAGCTTTGGTTTTTCATTAAAATATTCTAGCTTATCCTGCTTTTTGTTACTTGCTTCCTGATCAACTGACGATACCAAGTGTGGTTCTAGAATATTTACCATCTCTGAACCTTCTGGAACAATGCTGAATATGTCTGGTTGTTTCTCAAGAGATTCTCTGCTGTCAGTGTCACTTTCATGGTGTTTCGATTTCTGCTCTTGAGGGGGAAGAAGTTTATTCACATTGCCTGAAACAGGTTGCTCTCCTTTCAAATTATTAGTAGCTAGTTGAGTCAAAGAGTTATTTGACACATTAAAATCTTCTGTTGGTAGATTGCCAGCTGTTGGAATATCAGCTACCTCTTGTTTTTTTATTTCATCTTCCAAAGCAGAAGGTGAGATTTTGTGAAGATCTGATGTTTTTTGGCCTATTCCCACTGTTGTTCCTCTAATACGTTCTGCAAATGGTTGACTTAAGGGCAAATCAACCAGACCTTCCTTTGGTAGGTCTTTTTTTGAGACAATAACTGATTTAATATTGTCAGATTGTAGGTTTGAACTTTCATTTTTATCTGTAAGATACAACAGTGAAGAGGTAGGTTGTCTAGACAATGACTCTAAGACAGTCAGATTCTGAGTATGAGATCTTTCTGTGTCTAACCTGTCCGCTGATAGTGGTTGAACAACTGTTTCTTCTGTTATAAGATTATCTGTAGAGGGTTTATGTGATTGAATGACAGTTAGGTTGGCTTGAACCAGGGAATTTGATAAATTAGATTTTTCTTGTTCAAACTCTTCTGACAATATATTTCTTGTGTCATCCAAAGAAGATACCACGGTCTCCAAATCTTTTTTGTTTAATGAGCCTAATTGGACTGTTGGGACAGATTTTACTTGTGAAGCAGTCTCTGCTGCAGATAGTTCTGAAGACTCTTCCAAAGACTTTTCTTTAATGTCAACATTTTGCTCCGGCACAGTCTTCAACTTGTGAATTTTGGAGTCTACAATTTTTTTTCTCTTTATTGCAGTTTCTTCACTTAAAACAAGAGGAGAATATGCTTCATCCCCACTGCTGATTCCAGTAGAGTCATGAAGATTGTTTGATCTTTCAGCAAGTTTAAATGATTGACTTTTAGCTTTTTCTATTGCACCTTTAACTGCTTGCTCCATATTTTCCGCACACTCTTCCTTTTGATGACTTAACACACTTTTCTTTGGATGCAAAGAGTGCCGTGAAAATTGTGAGGATGCCCTGGCTCTTTTTCGAAGCAGCTTGCCTTCGTCCATGATGAATATCACCTTTCCAGGAGTACCCACTGAAGAACTATCCATACTGTACACATCGGAGGTAGTGCTGGCTTCGGAAGCCCATGGTGTGGAACATCGACTTGAGCTTGTCTCCCAGTGAATTCCACTGTCTTCACACTGCACTGTTACCATAGAAAAGGAGGGGTTGGACATAAGGCATTGTAGTTTGGGTTTTACATCTTCAACATCAACAGCATCCTTTAAACTGAAAATTAAAAGGAAAATCAGAATTAGTACCGGTGACAGTGCTATGGCTTTGTAATCATCAGACAAAAAATATTAAATCATATGTGACTATAAAAAGACACCCTCACACTACATATATATGTAACAGACTGAAAACATTGAGATTCCTATGATAATGAATTCACACCATCAATCCAGTACAAAGAACGTACATAGTCAGGTCTAATGATAAATAAATCTTATCTGACTCTCCTTGTACCTACCTCCTACCAGTCATAGGATCTATCACACCAAACAGTATTTAAAGGGAATCCTTCTCTAAGACAGGAGATGACAAGATCCATATTATATATGCAGTAAGTAAACGTGCTACGGCACTCTGAGTGCACAAATGAATGTAAATAATGAGGAATTACAGGGTGAGATGGGACCGGGAAAATAAGATAGAAAGACATGAAGCCGAATGAACTTATGATGGTCGTTATAATAAACATTAGAAATCAATATGTCTTGCCCTTTACAAGGCTCGGAGCAGTGACAGTATCCGGTCTGAATGACTGGTACTTGGCTTTCTCACTGATGTTATAGCAAGAAACCAGGTCCCCTAATTGGGATATTTAGCTTGTTCTGCCATTAGTCCTTTTTATACTAGATACAAACTGTGTGCAGGATATTAATACGTGTATGATCAGTTGTTTGAATGCTTCTGTTTGTGTTGTTTGTATGGGAAGGCTATGTGTGTTTTGTGTGGGGAGTGGATTGTTTGTGGGGTCATGCATGTGTCATCAGCTGCTTTTAGGCAAACTGTATTTATGTGGAGAGGCTGAGTGTGTTGAGTAATTGTGCAGAAGGCTGTGTATGATGTGTGGCTGAGAATGTGTTGAATTTGGGGAGGCTGTGTATGAAGTGTGGCTGAGAATGTTTTGAATTTGGGGAGGCTGTGTATGTTGTATGACTGAGAAGGTTTTGAATATGGGGGGCTGTGTGTGTTGTGTGGCTGAGAAGGTTTTGAATTTGGGGGGCTGTGTATGAAGTGTGGCTGAGAAGGTATTGAATTTGGGAAGGCTGTGTGTGTTGTGTGGCTGAGAAGGTTTTGAATTTGGGGAGGCTGTGTATGAAGTGTGGCTGAGAATGTTTTGAATATGGGGGGCTGTGTATGTGTGTGGCTGAGAAGGTATTGAATTTGGGGAGGCTGTGTGTGTTGTGTGGCTGAGAAGGTTTTGAATTTGGGGAGGCTGTATATGTTGTGCTTGACTCTATGTGTGTTGTGGATAAGTCTTGTGCATGTTGTGTGAGGGGAGGCTATATGTTGTGTCCAGCCTCACTATACATTACAATATTAGAATTTATATATATTTATTTTTTGACCCCACCTTCTGCTTATTTTGGTTGGGAGGCTGTAAACTCAATTACTGATGGTTCAGTGGGGCAGTGTTCATGCTCTTTGTTGGTCTTCTTCTCTGGTGTAAGCATGTTATATGAAATGATACTGATTGCTGTCTGGGTAACTTGGATGACACACTCAGACTCATTCAAATAGGGCCGTAATTAATGTGGGGCATACAAGGCAGCTGCCCTGGGCCCAGTTACTCCAGGGGAGCCCAAAGCAGCTGCCCCAAAGCCCCCACTGCTCGCAGTAATTTATTTTTTTCCCAGGGCCTGTTGGTGCTGGTGGTGTGACTGCACCACACACTAAGTAAGCAGGAACCCATTCAAGTGCTGTGGTACATTAAAGGGACACTATAGTCACCAAAACAACTTGAGCTAAATGACACAATTTTGGTGTATAGATCATGTCCCTGCTGCCTCACTGCTCAGTTCTCTGCCATTTAGGAGTTAATTCACTTTGTTTATGCAGCTCTATGGACACATTCCTGCATGTGACTTACAGAGCCTTCCTAAACACTTCCTGTAAAGAGTCATCTAATGTTTATACTTCCTTTATTATAAATTTTATTTAATATAGAATTTCTAATCATCCGCTCTGTTGATAGCTTGCAAGACCCTGCAGGAGACGCATGTATGTAATTAAAGTTCAATTTACAGAGCAGAATATAAAAACTTTTTAAGTAAGCTAACATCTGATTGAAAATAAAATTATTTTGTGTCAGTCACAACCAGGGGAGGTGTGGCTATTACTGCATAAACATAAACAAAAGTGGTTTAACTCCTAAATGGCCGAGAATTGAGCAGTGAAACATCAGAGGCATGATCTATACACAAAAACTGCCTCATTAAGATAAACTTGTTTTGGTGACTATAGTGTCCCTTTAACAGTGCAACTGGCCCCCTTTCTTTTGGCAGCATGGGAGTAAGTGACAGATGTGAGTCACTTCCTCCCAAATAGACTGGAGCTGCAGCCTGTGTGGGAGAGAGGTATAGAGGGTTGGGGGGGTGGGGGGTGGGAGGCGGCAGGAGTGCCAGAGAATAACTCCCAACAGCCTCAGCCACCATACTGGACTCTGGGGAAGCAACCCTTTTGCACCCAAAAGGTAGGAAACTGAAAGGTGGCTATAAAAGTGTAAATATTGCATGTGTGTCTCTGTATCAGTTTGTCAATGTGTGTGTGTGTCAGTATGTCTGTTTGTGTGTGTGTGTGTGTGTGTGTGTCTGTGTCAGTATGTCTGTCAGTATATGTGTCTGTGTGTGTCAGTATGTCTATCAGTGTGTGTCAGTATGTCTGTCAGTGTATGTGTCTGTGTGAGTGTCAGTATGTCAGTCAGTGTGTGTGTTGGTGTGTGTCAGTATGTCTATAAGTAATTAGTGTGTGTCTATGTATCTGTATGTAGTCAATGTGTGTATCTATGTATCTGCCAGTGTGTCAGTGTGTGCATCTGTGTGTGTGTGTATCTGCGTGTGTGTCAGGTGTGTGTATCTGTATGTTGTCATTGTGTGTATCTGTGTAACTGTAGGTAGTCAGTGTGTGTATCTGTGTATCCGCATGTCTGATTATCTGCATGTTTGTCAGGTTTTGTATCTGTGTGTCTGTATGTGAGTCAGTGTGTGTATCTGTGTATCTGCAGTGTGCGTGTATGTGTATCACAGTGTGTGGGGCAGTGTATGTGTATATGTACATACATCTCATACATTCAACACTACACACTAACGCACCCCTGCATTCAAACTTCAACACTACATACAAACACACTCCTGCTTTGAAGCGTCAGCACAACATACAAAAATGTAGTGGGATGGTGACAGTCGCGGGGGGTGGGGGGGTGGGAAGTGGTGACAATGGGGGGAAGGTGACAGTGGGGGGATGACAGTGTGGGAAGTGGTATTAGTGGGGGGGATGATGATAGTAGGGGATGATGACAGTGATGGTGGTGACAATGGGGGGATGGTGACAGTGGGGGTGGTGGTAGTGTGAGGGGAAAGAGTCTGCAGCTAGGCCAGGTACAAACCATGGATCTCGCCATCTCCGGCACTACCACGGCAACGCTGTGTTTTGCTGGAGATCGCAAGATCTCTACTCCATGGTCTGCAGCTTTGCACGCGGTGGAGCTGTAGACCGGAGGCAGTGGCAGACCAGACTACACAGAGGGACCCAGCTCCCGGCTCCATACAACGCAAGCCTCCGGACCCCCTCCTGGTGTCAGCCCGACACCTCAGTTGGCCAGATTAATCACCGGTTCGGAAAAATTGTTACATTTTAGTACCAGGTTTGTGGGAACCGGTGAGAACCGACTGAATCCCACCACTGGTTAAACACCAAAATCATATATAAACACACCCCTAGTTTCAAAAACTGACACTGCACATAAGTGTATGCTTGCATTCAAACGCCAACACCACATACAAACACACACCTACATTCACACAAATATACTCCATACAAAAACATGCTGACATTCAAACACACAAACACTGCTTAAATACAACCCTGCAAGCACGGGGAAATGGTAGAGCCCCAATCGGCAAAGCATTGTTGGAGTTGCATGACCGATGGACATCTACCTTTTGGTCACCATTTCGATAGAGGGGCCCAAATAAGTTCCTGTACCAGGGCCCTCCGTACTTTAGGTCCACCGCTGCTTTGGGGTGTAGTTGAACAAAAATTGTAGTCCAGGCACTCAAGGATCAATTCAGCAGGTTTATTGGAACAAAGTGAAACGTTTCGATCCCACAAGGGATCTTTCTCAAGGGCATTATTTCATGCAAGGAAGTGAGGGTGGAGGGGTCAAATGCTTGCCCAGGGTCTAATCAATTTTAAAGACAACTCTGCATTCAGAAGCTCCAGGATGGCAATGGAGAGGGGGCGCTGAGCTGGTCGGGCAGAGCTTTATTTTAAGTGAATAAAGCCCAGTGTGATAGCGGAGAGGTTCCCGCAATGTATCTCAGTGTCTTCTTCCTTGGAGTCAGTGAGAGGAGAACCACGTGGCCGGCAGTCACAGCCCAGCATGGAAATAATTTATCACTGGTTAATATGAAACCACAGACAGGACAAGTCAACAAACATACAAATAATACTGAGTCCAATGAAACCGAGAGACTATGACTTGGAAGTTACATCATTTACAGGTTATAATAGCATCCATTCTGAGTGACAATCAGTCAATTTATTTAACTTAATGTATTTAGAGAGTGGGCTGAAAACATAACCAATTACTCAAAATGGGATTTATTTCCTATCATTCAATTCTATTGAATTAGAAACCTGCTCCCTCAATCGGTAAAATCTTTATTTGCTCCTTCCTTGTAATCACAACTAGGATAGTTATTTCTGTACTCCCCTGGAGGGACCCAAATTGTGGCCACATAGATAGTGGTTTGTACCTCTGGCACACGATAGGTTAATGTGGCAGTGGAGCTCTGTGATACAGTCTGCACATCACTGTGAGTTTTGTTGATTTCGAGCTCTGTAATACACTAATACCCAGCCCACATTATGCAAGATTTACTGCTGTGGAGCTCTGTGATAGTTGTACACATGGCAGGTTACTGTTAGTTCTGTTGCTGTGGTGACACACACATTGTACATTGTGTGATACTTACTGCATTGGAGCTTTGTGATGAACTACACATCACTGTGAGTTTCATTGCTGTGAAGCTCTGTGATACACTCATGCACACTACACATTTTGTGAGTTCAATTGCTGTGGAGCTCTGTAATAAACTTGTACACACTCCATATTGCTGTGGTTTTTGTTGCTGTGGAGCTCTGTGAAACACTCATACACATTGCACATTACTGTGAGTTTTATTTCTGAGGAGCTCCGTGATTCACGCCCAGCATGCATTGGGAGTTTTTAGCAGTGACAGACAGGGAGATCTGACCCCAGAGAGAAACTGTTTCGCCTAAGGAGCTGACTGCTATAGTCTATCATAAATATCCTGTTGCAGAGACCCTCCACCTGGACACGTGCCCTAACACCACATTGTACTGCTCTGGCTGTAATGGCAGTGGTTGTTATGATCCCCCTGGCATCGTGCGGGGCCTGGTATGTGTCACCGTGATGCCCAGTCTGGAGAAATCACTGCCTTGCAACACTCACAATGTGCGAACACTGTCCATATGTGAACAAGTATCAGCCGTGAGAGGGGGACAGGGGGGAGGGACAGCTATCCCCCAGCTGTCATTCCTGCTGTCACTTTAAATAGAAAAACATTTCCCCAGCCCGAGCAGACTCTGTCATGAAATCAGCCATTTAGATTGTGTACCCTGCAGTCAGGCTGCCCAATCCCTGATTTTTAATTATGTCACTGGCCCTTGATATACACGCAGGTCTTCCCTGTCTCCTACGGCAGTGGGGGTCACAGTCCATACCTCTGGGTAAGCTCCTCTTTGTCTTCTGCATTCAGGACGCTGTCAGGGGGGGCTTCATCGTCCAGGCAGGAGGAGATCTCAGACGCTCTATCACATTCTGAAGGAACCAAGCTTTCCATGTTCCTGGTCGAAAAAGCCCCTTGTTGGGCTTTGATTTTTCACCCAAGATCAGCCCTCCATATAGCTCCCACAAGAGAGTGGTGTCGTACGCACAGCAACAGCAGACGGACTCGGGACTTCTATTCCCCTGACTCAGGGCAGTCTTAAAATAGACTGCAAGAGAAAACAGGACACTCAGACACACATGCTCCACACAGCCGCAAGTTCTTCTTGGCCAATTCCTTTCTGCGCTCCTCTCCTGGCTCCTAGAGGCCTACATCGTCTCAAACACACCGTATATTCCTTCTAATCATGGATTGCATACAGCTCTCTACTTACAGTATGGGTTTAAAGTAGGACTATCACTTCTCTTTGAATCACCCCATTAAACAACTCACCTATAACTTGTGTTATCCTATTTTACATTCGATGAACCTCTTCTTTTAAATATATATAATAGATTTCTACAAGTGGCATCACAGTGCAGATCAGTCAAGGCACGACAAGGGCACAATATGTAAATGAGGAGGACAGAAACGTTGTTTCATTTATCCTCTTCTTTAAACATGTTTAATGGTAGAAAAGAGAAACATTTATAACGACTGATAGAGGCTCCATGGATTGAAACACATATTTGTGAAATTTGATAAGTAAATAAATTATTCCAAATCAGGGGAAATGAAAGTTTTCCTTTAACTTCTCATTTATTAAATTAGTCTGTTTGCCGAGTGTAGCGGACCACGGGTAACCCGACTGGTTACCTCCGCTAATTCGTTCCTTCAACCACTCAGGAACCATTAACACCAACAGACACCCAAAATCCCCGGTAACCAGACAAAATATAATCCTGGGAGTCAATTGATTTTATTCAGGTCACACACGGCTTTTATGCCCAGTCCCCTACATGGGGTTTACAGCACAATAAACCAGGGGTTTTAATCTCATGATCCTCTATGCCTGAGAGATAATTGCGTGAGAAAAAACCTCTAATCCAATTATCTCTCAGGTACAGAAAATCCAACAAAATATACTGTACCCCAAAAGTGTCCCCACCATACTCAGGAACCCCACAAAAAGTACATTCTTCGATAGCCACGATCTGAGTGTATAATGTGTCCAAGAATCACTCAGATCAGTTCCGTAAAAATGGGAATGCTATTGAGGTAACGTTTTGACCAGCCAGACACAAGGCGCTAGCCCAAAACAGTTCCAGGAAAATAGGTGCCCTGGCCGGTCTCAGTTCGTGAGGTTCCTGTGCAAACACCATGCAAGGGAATCTATCATTTCAGGATACGAATGCTCCCCCTGTTCAGTAGTTCAAATCTCCCGAACGTCGTTTGTCTAGGTGGTTGGGAAATAAAACGGGCAGTGGTCTAACCATTACCGGGGTTCATGCTAGTGCCTAGGCGAAAAGGGTTCCAGGCACTCGACGACCAAGTACCGCTGCTCACGTTTGGGAGACAAGATGAATCTATCAATGCCAACTGCATGGACATCCGAAACAAGTTTGTGGCACACACCAAGCATGGTATAACACTGACCCTGAAACTCTGTAATTATTACACAATGAACAGATTGTTCTTATAGAAATGAAGGTAACAGGGCGCAAAGAATAAAATGGTAAAGGTTTGTTTTCCTTTAAATCTTTTTTTTTTTTTTTAATTAAGCAAATATAACAAGTTTGCTAAATAAAGCAAAAATTTTTACAATTTAGAAATTATTTTAATATTATTTATACTATTTTAGAATGTGTGTAAAAGTGAATAGATTTTAGGGTCCATTACAATTTAACTTGAATGAAGATAACATTTTAAAAAGTTGGTTGATGGTATAACTTTATACAGAAAATATTGTTGTTATAGGATGCGGTATATTTAGGTGTCACTCAGTATAAAGCCACATTATTTATAGTAGGTGGTATGGAGTACTGTGATAAGAAATTAACATTACTGAGCAACTAAATTATGTGGCATCTGATAAGGTTAACGACAGTTACTCAATCATGGCTTAAACTAATGCGACCAAGACCATAACTCATTTCTTTTATTTTTTTATACATACTGTAACACTTACCGGTGATCTGATTACTGTATATATAAGTAGATGAATATAATTGTGAGTCTGTTAAGAGTTTTATAAAGACAATATTTATATAAAAAGAAAAAATGACTGATTAAACTCTTCTGTTCACATCTTTATTGCATGCCCGTCTCGCACTGCCTAATGAGCTTTAATTAAGATGAACCTTTTATTTGACACTGGCTGACAGATATTTACTCTGTTGATAAATATATTATTTTAATTTAATTTCATTATTTATATTGATAAACAATTTTTTTTTTTTTTATAAATTTTTAAAAAAATGACATATTTCAAAATCATTATTGAGGCCTCAATAATGATTTTGAAATATGTCATTTAAAATATAAATAATTATTAAATATAAATAATGAAATTAACAATTTTTAAGTTACATTGTAATTTTGAAAATAATATATTTTAATAATAATATTTTTATGATTTTCTATAGAATTTTTTGGAAAAAATGTTTTTGAACATTTTTAATATTTTAAAATATATAAGCTAAAACATATTTATTATATAATTATTTAAAAATATTTATATAAATTAACTCCACCCCTCCACATACTCCTGTACTTTTTAAGTATTTTTTGTATTTCTGTATTTTTATATTTATTGTAGTATTTGTTGTACTCTTTGCACTGCGTTATTCATTTCTGTACTTATTCACTATATAGTTCCGCATGTTTTTTCTATATAGCTGTCTTTCAAGTTGCACTAAGGTGACTATCTATACCTCCACTTAGGATATTAATTAATGTGTCTATTAAGAAACTGTAATTAACCACATATTCATTATTTATTCTCTTTTTCTTCCCTTTTTTTTATATATAATTTGAAGTAGGTATTGAGTTCCATTATACGCTCTACTGGAATGAGTTATATGTCTTTTTATAATCTACCATCTAAAGGTGTAAAATGAAAATGTTTGAATTATTGTATTTTAATACAAAAATATGTTAATACATATCTCTAAATATGATGTTAGCCTGTATATCCAGTTTATATTCAAGCCCTCTTGTATATATTTTTTGTATATAGTCTGTTTCCATACATTTAAAATATTTTTTATTTTTTATGTATTTATATTACACCGTAAGATTTGCATTCAATAAGATATGTCACTTTAAGGGCGATAAATAGTACTGCCCCTTTAAAGGAAGCCGCTATAAGGCGAAACGCGTTGACATCACACAGGGGGGAGGAGCCTGTTACACACGGAACTCGGAGCGGTCTTTTGGAAACTTTAATCAAAGTACCTTATCCACAATTCAGCCGAGCCGGAAAAGTGTCCTGCAGCCTGCCTACCACCCTAATATTGCAAGCTGATTTAGTGAGTTACGGCGTAAGCCTGTTTAACTCACCACCGTATCTAGCAAGGGGCTAACCACCCTCCTAATATTTTTTTATTCTTTTTACTATTTTTTTCTGTATTTATGTAATGATTTCATATTCTGCATGTAGCAGACAATAAATTCATGTCATTTTTTTATATTTTGTTTTTTTTAAGCCCATCATTGTTATGATGATATATAATTTCACATATTATGAGAAGAATAAGGGATTTATTAAGCAGATGTGAGGTGCTTTATTAATCATTGTTAACCATCTGCACTATCATTGCATTTTTTTTTCTTTTTTCCTTTGCATATTACCATCATTGTTTGGAGGAACCATCCAACATTTAAGGAGTCTGTATACCATTCTCTCCATTGTCTCTAAGTGGTGTTTCATTTTGCTCCACGCATTACTACACATTATTTCTTATTGGTGGATTTGGGGATTACACCAGAGTGTGAAGCAACTGTTTACACCTAATACCTGTTTAGCACCCAGATTTTTTCTAATTTTCTTGATATAAGATTGGTTTGCGTTGGTTAGTTTAAGCATTTCACTAACATCTTTTCAGTAGTACGTGACACGTAGTTTAGCAAAGCTTTGTGTAGACAAGCGTATGTAACATGCATTGGAACTTTGATATTACATGCAGTGTGTCTACATCTAACATGCTTCATTGCATTCTCTATTTACAGTACTAGTGGAACCTCTGTGAGCAAGTCAAAATTTGCAGACATATTTTATGTGTGCGTGGTAGTCGTGAACGGCTAGGCATGCGAGTTGCACATATATGTTGTGCGTGAGGTGACAGACGTAGGTCAGAGAATGCATTTGGGTAGGCAAAACAATAGATAAAAAAGCAAGAACATCACTCAGTAACCCCGGCCTGCCTGTCTCCAGTGCCTGAATAGTTAAAGAGCAGTTTGATATCTACGTGGCATAGTGCCCTCTGCTGATGTATTTAGTAGTAAGTTATTCTGGACGTTGGATGAAAGACACGTGTATCAAAATAGGTACTCAGCAGGTGTCTGAGTTGGAGGTGTTAGGCAGGCACTGTGCCAGAGGCAAAGTCCCATTTTCCTTTCCTTTGACGCCATGCATGGGCAGAGCAAGGTTCCCTGGTTGGTGGAATCTTTATTAGGCTGGCAGGATATCTGGGTTCCGTGGGTGTTGCAGTTAAAGCCCCTCTGAATCTGCCGGGACAAGCCCTCCACGCTTGTTGTGCGCCTGGGCCGCGATGTCACTACGAGGACTGCAAGCGGCGTTTACATACTGTATCTGACATGTCTCGCTTTGCAGTCGTTCTTCGTGTGGATGGCCTGTAGGTTGCCGTTGCCACCATCTTGTAAGGTAGGCCTTGGGTGGCTTTAGACACCCAAAGCCTACCTTACAAGATGGCGGCAACGGACCAGTAAGCTCCTCAAAAAGCCGGTGTGTGGCAGTTAGGGAGGGAGGCAGGCAGGGCAGCGGCCATCCACCCCGCTCTCCTCCCGAGTAGGCCGCAGCTCCCGAAGCTTTGTGCTTCCCTTAGGGGACCCAAAGCTCCCGATCTCTGTGTTGACCTCCTCTTCCACCACCATGTGAGTTTTCTGTGGGCTCATGTTGAGTGTCAGGGTGGAGAATTTTGGCTTAACAGGTCGGATTCCTCCAGAGCCTGTCCTGCATGCGACTGGTCAGAATGGCGGGCCAGGCCCGCCCCGCCGAAAATGTTTTCCAATGCTTTCCTATGGGGAATTGAGCGACGCTGGAGGTCCTCACACAGCATGAGGATGTCCAGCAACGCTCTAGCACAGAAAACCTGTCCTATGAAGCAGGAAGTGCCCTCTAGTGGCTGTCTAGAAGACAGCCACTGGAGGCGTTAACCCTGCAAAGTAATTATTGCAGTTCATGAAAACTGCAATAATTACAGTTGCAGGGTTAAGAGTAGTGGGAGTTGGCACCCAGACCACTCCAATGGGCAGAAGTGGTCTGGGTGCCTGGAGTGTCCCTTTAACACTGACTGGAAAGACAGCACCAGGGGACTCCAGCCACTAATAAATACTCCAATGATATGAATCAACCATAGTGCCTACATTATCCCTTTAAGATATGGCCTTTTCTGTTTGCTGTTGGTGTTCCAGACAGTGCGGCACTGGGTGAGTGCTGAATCAGTGTGTGCCATTTCATTTTTGTACATTGATCAAACTAGACTAAAGCATATGGTCCTATGGTACAACAGCCAATGTTATTGTTCCAGCTTTGCAAAAGGATAAAATTAAACTAGCTGATGATCAACGAAGTTTGCAGAATTTACACACACCTTGAAGGAGATAGGCCGGTTTAGAGGCAAGCATGTCCAGGACCAGAGTTCCTTAGGTCACGAGGAGCTGGATTTCAAAATGTATTACATTTTGCATACAGCGGTTGTGAAATGCATTTGTTTGTGTAGACAAGGGACATTACTTTCCATGTTTGGAAGATTACTAGGATCACACCACCAGGTCGACTAGAATTCCAGGTACCATGGGGTCATTCATTTTGTGAGACTATTTAGATTTAATCTGGAGTGTGCTTTTTTTATGTACCTTATGTTAGGAGATTTTATTATTTTTCGAACTGAATGGAATTAAGAACTGTACAAATTGAATACAGAACATGCGGGGTGGTGAGTGTTAGCTGGTGTTCCAGTTAAATTTGAGAGCCAGTGACCTAATCCCTTAATCCAGGGCTGCCCAACAGGTAGATCCCCAGATGTTGTAGAAGTAGAACTCCCATGATGCTTTGTCATTCTAAAGGCATGCAAAGCATCATGGGAGTTGTAGTTCCACAACATCTGGGGATCTACCTGTTGGGCAGCCCTGCCTTTGTCTTTATTTACCATAGAGACTGGAGACCACAGCTCACGTTTCCAAATTGAGCTGCTAGCCAGATGTGTAAAGTTATTTGTCAAGTATGTCATATTGTGTGTGCGTGCACGGAGTGACTGTATGTGTAATGTCAGAGTGCACAAATAAACATGAGTGTGTGTGTGTGTGTGGGGAGAGTAAGTGTACAAGCTTGCAGGAGAGCATGTGTGAGCAGAGTATCAGTATGCGTGAATGTGGAAGTGTAGAATAAGGGAAACGTCTGCGCTCCCTGGTGTTTCCCAATACAGTCAGTCGCCCATTCTCTTCTTTCAGCCAAAGTATATTCCCATCCTATTAGCTAGCACCCCCTTATAGCTAGTAGCCCATATTTCGGCCATCAGGCTATTCCTCTGACATTTTTTACAGTTTGCTCACAGTGGGGAGGCCTCATCTCCCACCAGAGTGGCGTGGAGTCTGTCTGCTGCCTATAGGAAATTATATCACGAGTTACAAACGGAGTGGGCAGCATCATTGCTGTTAAAAACACATATTCATTCTCTTTGCTGAGGTTCTGCTTCCACAGCTACTGTTGGCTAACATCCTACTTACAGCCACATGCAGAGCAGAGAAAGGACTCCATTTCCACTCACCTTTTGTAAGAGACCCGCTTTAGACACATTCTCCCTCTGCGATCAGGGTCTTTGTAACCCAGAACTAGGATTAAAAGGCTTCATTTATCTTTATATATTCCTCATCATAAAAATGGCTCTCCTGTGCTCAACTGAAACCGTCGTAGAGATAATGAAATATATAAAACGCAGTATTTTGTACATAAACTTTATTCCATTTAACGATACAAAAAGGGAAACAAAATCAAAAAGAAAACAAGTATACCTTACTCCTCATGTTAACGCCAAAGTAAAATGCAGTCATTTTAACAGAGATTATTCTCGAACAACAAATATGACAAAATGTTCACACTGTGTTCAAAACGAACGTAAACATAAAGAGAAATCTCGTTTTTCAAAGAAAAAAAAAAAAAAGTTAAAAATATATCCTGGATTTGCCACCTACATCCCTCTGGCACTCAAAAGGTCAAACATATATTAGAATACATATGTCAAAATATTTACATAGAAAGTGTGGAGGAGGGGATTGTTTATTTAGCAGCAATAACACATACTACCACTATTGGAGGGGAGAGCGCGGCATAGAAAGATATCCCTTCTATTACCATGTGTAACCAATGGCAACGCAAGCAGCTTCCGTACACATCACACATTATCACACAAAATCATACGGCCTACAGCTCTTTCAGGCTATGGTTTAACTTAAAGCAAGTCTGCTGGGATCGGTGGAAAAAAAGATCCAATGAATCAGGAAACCGTAATTAAAAGACAACAGTCAGCGCCAAAAAAACATTTTTTTAAATCGAATTGTCTTTTATCAAGTCTAAAATAAAGTATATGTAAAAAAAAAAAAAAAAAAAAAAAGTGTGAGGAAAACTCATCCCTCCCTTTAATATATGATGGGATCCTGCAGCCATATACATACACCTCGGGTCAGACAGTCTCTATGGTCTGCTCTCTTTCTGTGCAGGGAGTGAAGCAGGAAAGACCATAGAGACTAACTAACCATTTTTCAAACACTGTCTGACCCAAGGTGTGTGAATATGGCTGCAGCATCCGATCAGATATTAAAGGTAGGGATGTGGTAATTCATTATAAAAAAAATTCTACTTATACTTTATTTTTAATGTAATAACCCTTTCAGCAAGTTTTAAATGGTTTGCGGTTACAGTTGTCCTTTAAGAACACAGCAGTGTCTGAGGTAAACATATTAAGGAGTTGAAGCAGTTTCTAGATCACATTTTACATACATGTAGAATACACAGGAAGAGAGGTCACTTATTGCGAGACAAAAGAGGGGTAGTATTTGATCAATGTGTAGTGCAAATTCATAGCACGTTCAGCATAGAAAAAAAAAAAAAAAAGACAAAAAGTATAAATCTGGATACTCAGACAAAAGGTCTGCGGTTTGTGAATATAGAGGACTTCATGTTCCAGCATTTCAAACAGTGGTCCATACCAGACATACAATAAAACGGCTATATTGTAAATGAAATCCTTTTACTAAAACAAAGACCTTATCAGAGGCAGCGGTTAAAAAAAACAAAAACAAAAAACATATGAAGAGTCCAATCAAGTCTTCAGTTGTGTAAGCATATTGCAATGTAAAAAAAATGATATATATTAATTCTATTTTCCAGGAGAATCCAGTTCTAAGACACTTATCTCTTCTGCATCCCGATAATTCTTTGAACAGGTAGCACGCTGTTTAAATCTCGGTTGTCCCTCAATCTCACCCAGGCCTAAAATTAGAGAGACAGTTAGTTGTAGATTAACTATTTTTACCACGTAGGCATGAATTCAATATGGTTTGATACATTTCCAAAATTATATAATATATAAAAAAAAAAGCATTTTAATAGTTTATCCAATAATATGAAATTATTTGGAAAGGTTATCCAACAGTATGAGGTTGAGGTCTTGGTTTGCAAATAAATGTCCTCTGTGCATTAAATGAATGTATCACAGTGCTAGGATTTTTGGTTCAGATTATCAGAGTGGGGTTAAACAATTATCATTATTAGCATTTACATAATGCCAACATATTCGGTAGCACAATTATAAAAAGGCATATTTGACAACAAATAAAGTGCATACAGAATATTAACAATCTATGAAGATTTAAGGTAGGTGGATTTGAAACTGGGTATCTAAGTTCTAAAGAAGTGTTGTTAACCCTGCTCTTACATATTTAGTGCCCACTATCAGCTATCTGCAGGCTAACAATGAGTTGGTTGCTGTATATTAGTATTTGGGGGCAGGTTTGTAGATGCTAGTATTTGTGTGTACGTGCACATTAGTGTTCAGAATAGAATAATTGAATGAAGTAAAAGTCCTACACCAGGGTACAGTGTATCACCATTACCAGATCTGCTTAAATATGAGTAGGGTTATTTGAGTCCTTGTCGTGGTCCCACTCTTGGTTTGCTCAATTAATGTTAATCACATATAAAGCAGAGTCGCAGCATTGCCTCAGTCTCGTTATGCTTAGAAAGGCAAGGGCATGGGAAGTGAAAGTCATGTTTTGATAGTGGTAGTAAAAATCCACAGATCTTTGCTGATGGTTACAACCTATGGTGCCTTGGCTTGCTTCTACGACACATTATCCTGTTTAGGGTCTTTCAATGCACAGCGCAGAATGGAAGGGGTGGGGACTAGTTTGTGCTCTCTCACAAATTTGATCTATGCATCATTAACATGTCAACAGGTCATGGTTGAGTTTACTCACTTTCAAAAATTCTTCCTGGATCAGATCAAATTTCTGCTTCTCGTGGACCGCTCGAGCAGTGTTTGTTCTGTCAAATGGTTCTAGAATGGGAAACCATCATCATATTAACAACAAGTACTCCCAAAAGTGGAATCAATAGCTCATATCCTGATTAAAAGTTTTTTTAATGTCCGGTTTTCAATTCAATGTGTAAATAAGTGTTTTTTTTTTTAAAATCTGTTCCCCTTTAAACTGCTGAAATTATATCTTGCAGGCTTCATATTCTGGTGACTATCAGAATGCACTGTATGGAATTTGACGGAATGTGGGGGGTTTAAAACGAGAAGCCAAAGAATATTCTAAAACAAACCCATATGGTTAAATAATTCAACATTCAACACACTCTTACAATAACGCGATTACACAAAACTATATTTAAAAGAAGAAAAACTACCACAACAAGAGGACATAGTCTTAAATTAGAGGGGCAAAGGTTTAAAAATAATATCCGGAAGTATTACTTTACTGAGAGGGTAGTGGATGCAGGGAATAGCCTTCCAGCTGAAGTGGTAGAGGTTAACACAGTGACGGAGTTTAAGCATGCGTGGGATAGGCATAAGGCAATCCTAACTATAAGATAAGGCCAGGGACTAATGAAAGTATTTATAGACTGGCTTTGAATAAATTAAAATCGCCTATTGTGTTTACAGTACAAACACACAAACAATATAGAAACGTAACAAACATTATAATAAATGAACATGGCTGCAAACGGAACATAAATGAAATTATGGGAAGCAGCAGGTTCCTCACTTTTAGAATATATCAGCATGAAGCCAGACTGCACGTTCATATAGAGATATAGAATAGAAAGGGGCCACGTGGATGGAGGTGACAGGGAAACGTGCGAATTACGTTTCAGTAAACAGATTTAGGTAAGTGGTGACCGGTAACTGAGGTTTCCCGGCTGTCCTCGTTTACATTAAAGATATAAAGTTGGGTGTTACGGTTGTGATTTTAAAATTAGAAAGCTGGGATAAACATTCTCCTCTTGGCTCCAGGCAGACAGAGTAACCGTTAACGCAAAAGGTTTCACTGGCAGGAGCCTCCTGTGTGTTAAAGTTCAGTTTACAGAGCAGGAGATAAAAACCTCCTAAGCAAGTTAACATCTGATTGATTAGATGTTAACAGTTTTTTCATGCACGCTCTAAATCGTAAGCAAGGGAGGTGTGGCTAGGGCTGATTAACAGAAACAGAAAGCGATTTAACTCCTAGATGGCAGAAAATTGACCTGTGAGACTGCAGAGGCTACAATCTATACACAAACAGCTTAATTAAGCTAAAATTATTTTGATGCCTATAGTATCCCTTTAACACATTCAGTCCCTGCATTATATTTATATCCATATCTTCAAGTAGTTGAAAATTGTCGAAAAATGTATTTTAGAGATTTTGAAAATCGCTAAAATAACTCCCCACCCTCCCAAAGGGTGGGGCCTGACGATTTGGTCGAGCTCTTCCACAACCCTGTTATCAAACGCCCTATATAGTCTGCTACAGCTCTGTTTGGGGCACACTGAGCTGAGCCCTTTATTCCAGACGTTCTGGCTATGCTGGAAATCGGTCAGCGACTCATCAGCAGTTTACCAGTGCCACTGGTGCACGCCTGACAGGAGAAGCGGACGATCTCCTGGACAGGAGGTGCCCTGAGGCAGTCGGTTTTATATGAGTGCCCAGTTACCCCTCATTGGACTGGTGGGGGTGATCTTGACCGTTAATGCTCACGGATTGTTATTAACTCATGCTATATGTCATTACTAATGCATGTACATCTCACTACACCCCAAAAATAAAGAATGTAAAAATAAATAAATACCCCTCCCCCCCAGATATTACAGATCAGGTACACATTTGAAATCTAATCATGAACTAAATAAAATAGATTTTCTTACAAACAGTATAAAATGAAGTGGTCATGGATTCTTATGCAGTGGGCTGAAACGAATTCTTAGCTCATCACACAAATGCTATAATTATCACATAGGTTTGATAGGGTTACTAATAACGTAACAGATCTCCATAAAACGTGTGTCAGCGGTAGCTCACAAAACACCTGCGAGATAAGCGTCAATAGCACACACACAGCTACAAATCTCACCAGGTGTTCTATTAACATCAGAAAAAAGTTATGCAGCTACGAGAGATGTTACCTAGCAGACAGACACTAAAACCAGCTTCATGGAGAACCAACAAATATACATGTAAATATTCTCCAAATAAGGAAATTTGTAAGAGATCTTTTATTCCCCCATCTCCCTGCGAGGAAGCAGCTGAGTGCCAAGTTCCCCTTTTGCTTCTATATATAAAATTTACATTTCACATCTCCCACACCAGGCTGACTCACAATGTGAGATAGCTGAAGAGATCACTGATAAGTTAAATACATTATCTGCTAAGGATGTGAACAGGATGGTAACACACATTGAAGGTGGTAACAATCTACTCAGCAGGTGTTTAACCTGGACTTCAAGTAGCTTTGCATCATTATCATCACTGAATTCTGTGTTCTATCTGGCTGCTGGTAGCACATGTGAGCAGCTTAAAATGATCACTCCAAGCACCATAACTACTACAGTGCACAGTGGTGGTTATGGTGACAGGAGTGCCCTTGCTACTCTTACCAGGACAGCTGGAAGCTCCAGCTTAAGAGTTGCCATTGGGGCTCTGCAGCTGATGCAGGAAAAAGCCAGAGGACTAAAGGTAAAAAGTCTAAAACGGTTTTACTACTTACACTTGGAGTGAGCCAGAGAGATGGAGAGGTTACGGTGTCTGGATAGTTTCTTTAAAGCGTTACTCCAAGCATCCTTATCACATTAGTGATTTGAAGCAGCCATGTTTCCTGCAATCTGTATGTGCGGTGTTTGCTTTAAACACACAAATGGAATGAAACCCTTTGTGTCATTGGGGTGTCATTAGGCAGCCCGGATCAAACATTCTGGGCTAGCTAATGTCAATTCTGTGCAGTCAGCTGACACGCTCAGCCAATAGCTGGTAGGATCAACTTCTGGCTTCCATCGTCACTGGCCACAGGAAGGCAGTCAGCGCACAGCGGTGACCCAGGTTCAATGGCAAAGTTTACATAACGGTTTGTCCCATCACTGTTGAACGTGGCCAGCGTAACACCTGAGATCATATTTACTAGAGCAGGAAGTATTGACTATGATGCTAGGGTTAACCCTTTAACATCCCTCGGTTGTATTTATTGTTCACAGTAACAGTCTCCTATGAAGGAGGGCCAATACGAGGATTTAAGAAGCACTGCTCAATTTCTAGATGACTGCATACACACGGAGTAATTAACTTCATAATGTTAAATACAGCCTAAAGAGCCAATTCTTATTATCAGTCTATTGGTAATATCCTTCATTTGCATTACTCAACGTAAATATACAATAAAACTGTAAGATGTATAAAGGATTACCAAATGCAGAGCAAGTACAAGAATCTATCAGGTTTATGAACCATTAGAAATTCAAATTTCAAAGATTTTTTCCAATCCAGCTACTGTTGTCTCAAATGTGAAACTCACTTTGAACTCCAGACAATTCCCAAGACTTGTACCCAACAATTTTCCCCAAGAATAAAAGACTTCAACCAAATACCATTATTGCAATTTTTGTTAGTATTATAGTGCACGCATTTTCTACAGAGCTTTACAGTTTTACAGCAAATAAATATGTATTAACATGAATAGAATGCAAGGAGGGCCTGACCCAAGCAAGCTTACAATCCAGAGACGGTATAGGGACACAGAATGCAAGGAGGGCCCGACCCAAGCAAGCTTACAATCCAGAGAAGGTATAGGGACACAGAATGCAAGGAGGGCCCGACCCAAGCAAGCTTACAATCCAGAGGAGGTATAGGGACACAGAATGCAAGGGGGGCCCGGCCCAAGCATACTAACAACCCAGAGGGGGTATAGGGACACAGAATGCAAGGAGGGCCCGACCCAAGCAAGCTTACAATCCAGAGGAGGTATAGGGACACAGAATGCAAGGAGGGTCTGACTCAAGCAAGCTAACAATCCAGAGAAGGTATAGGGACACAGAATGCAAGGAGGGCCCGACCCAAGCATACTAACAATCCAGAGGGGGTATAGGGACACAGAATGCAAGGAGGGTCTGACTCAAGCAAGCTAACAATTCAGAGGGGGTATAGGGAAACAGAATGCAAGGAGGGCCTGACCCGAGCATGCTTACAATCCAGAAGAGGTATAGGGACACAGAATGCAAGGAGGGCCTGACCCGAGCATGCTTACAATCCAGAGGGGGTATAGGGACACAGAATGCAAGGGGGGCCCGGCCCAAGCAAGCTTACAATCCAGAGGGGGTATAGGGACACAGAGTGTGAGATCACCAGTTAGAATGCTGGTATTTAACGGAATTAATGATGCTGAGTGCCCACTGACCACATCACATGTATATGTGTTAACGTGTGTAAAACAATGGATACAGAATGTATTTTACCTTCCACACAGATATATTTGTTCCTCCATTCAATGCCGTCTGTCCGTGCCATAGCTTTACCCTCACGTACAGAAACAGTTCTTTTACCCCACCTAAAATAAAAATATATATATATTTCTCTATTACCATAGTAACAGTAAACTGAAGTGCTTTTGGGGTGTGGAGTGGTCCTTTAACCATGGATGACTAATACCTAAAGCGCAAGGACAGATGATGCCACAATGTGTGGACCAAGTACAGGAGTCTACAGAACATTTTCACATGTTAAAACAATCCAATGTAAATTTAGAACATGGTGTGACAAGTTTCCCTAGAATCTAGGGGCCAGGCACATTTTCTCAGACTTCACATTACCAGAGATAAATCTAAATCACACACACAATAAATTATTACATTAGAGTTAAAATGAGATGTTGGTTTAGTTGTGGTCTCTCTCTACCACTTTTCCCCCTTAATTGTTTCCCCTTCACCCCAACTTTTTCCCAACACTGCACTCAGACACACACCGAGCCCTGCACAGAATATGGCTGCCCAGCTTTCATTTCTGCAAAATGCTGAAAGGCTATTTGTAGAACCGTCATTCTGATCATGAAACCACAGGATAAAAACAGATTCACAAACATATCTATGCAATGTATCTGAGAAAAAAGTAATCTGACATTTAATGCCCAAAGTGTGCAGTTTCACCAGGCGAGTAGAGACCTACGAGAACTAATGTGGGTCTGGACAAACGACCAACAGACAAAACCAGAGCCGTGATCACATGACCACAAGGTGACTAACAAGAACAAATATTTCTAAAGGAAGAATTACCTTAAAATAAAACCAGCAAAATGAAACACTGGGGCAATGTTAGATTGTCAGTACTGTTAAACCATCTGCATGTGAAACACCACCGACACCATGCATTAGACAATCAGTTTAACGCATCCAATACAGGCAATATCTCGCTTATATGTCAAGTTAGGTTTAAAAACACCTTCGTAAAGCGAATCACAGGTTTTTTTCATTTGCGAGTACATAAAAAAACATGATATAAGGCTTTTATAAGTGTGCAATAGTACTAGACTACATCAGAATTACATACAATTAAAAATAATGCTGCTGCCACCATAAGTACTGCTCATCTTAAAATAGTGGCGACTCATCATATGACTAACAGAGCGGCATTAGAACCCCTGTATTAGTGAAGTGTTGTATAGAGAGGTATGACGGTTCTTCTAGTTCATTACTCACTCAAATTCAATGGCAAAATATTTTAGGAAACCCACAAGAAGTTCGCCAAGGGATGCTCCATTTTTGGAAAAGTACTGCGGAACATTGCGAGGAGCTTGATGGACAAGGTGCAACTGCATAGTAGGATTAAAACAATCCTATCAGGATAGAGAAAAAAAAAAAAAAAAAAAAAAAAAAAAAAAAAAAAAAAAAAAAATCACAATAAAGCATTTAGAGGGATGTTTTCAACAATTTGCAGTCAATGAAGCTTTATTATACACAGATAACACAGAGACAGCATTTACTGTATCGAATTTAACTTAATTACCATCTTAGTGGCTTTAAATTTCCAGTACAATCCTAGTAGCCAGGTCAGAAAAGTTACTCACTACAGCAGGAATGGAGGGTCCTGATCTAAAATATTGTAACATTTCCACACTCTGTATAAATTGGTATTTTGAAGATCACCCTGATAAAATAGATATTATGCTAGTAAATAACCAAGATGTTACATCAGCAAAGTATCAGTGAACCTGGTTTGAAGAATATTACATTACACTAATGATAAATAAACTGGTTAGGTTTGAAACGGCTCATTCGGGAGCTGGAAATATAAACCTTCCAATACGGATGTCACTCGGGGATTTCACTTGCCTAAGCGCTAGTTTTAACTAGTACTGGGTCACATTATCATGGCATATATACATAGAATGACCTTGGCATCCACGGTGACTGGCACAGTTAGAACAATCCAAATTTAGCCATCTAGCACCCTCAATGGGGAATATTCTCAAACCGAGAAGCTTAGATGCTTCACTGTGTTTAATAGGAAATTGAGACGAGCACAATGAAGAGGCCAAACGTTAGTAAAAGGTCAATATGTACAAGGCATTGGCAGCATGAAAAGGTTTATTTCTACTGGAAACAGCCAAGGACATACCCACAATTCCAGATAAATACACATTAAAAATAAAAGTTAAAATTACATCAATTAGGGTACATGCCCATCAGAAGTTAAATGAACACTTTATTGATTTATTTTACTGCCAACATGATATACCAAAGATAACATACATGTATTTATTCCTGTAGGTTCTCTTTCGGGGTATATGAAAAAATATATATCGCATGTAAAAGCTGCTGTACACACTCCATATACACTGTGTTCAGTTTATACTTTGTGGGAAAGGATTTAGAATATGTGTATTACGTTATAATGAAGGGACATTTAAATGCCTTGGGTTTTACAGTAGTAATACTTACTGGGTAGATTTTTTGAAGAGATGGAAGAATGGGTTCAGGTCGGGCTGTAAAACAGGAAGGGGAGACCCCATGGAATCACATGTGAAAAGACAGATACATGAATCTCACTAATGGAGGAACCAAAAATACAAGAAAACTGCCATGGACACGCACATCAACATTAGGCCCAAGAAAAACCATTCAGAAATGTACAGCCAAACTTTTCTCACTTTTCCAACTGATAAATCTAAACCGGTTTCATAAAACAATTGGTTTCACTTTAATTTAATTTGGCATTATACATTCAAACCTTGGAAGCCAAGACGATGGAGCTGGGTGGGCAGCTATGAACAGAGGTGTTCGTGTAACTTCAGCTTTATCCAAATGGCTGCAGAAGGACCGAGCTGTGGGTCAAACAGTTCCCAGCACCTAGAGACTCACAGTACCATAACCACTACAACAAGCTATAGTGTGCATTGAGCTTAGAGTCCCCTTTCCAGAACTACTGGTCAAGGATGGGAGAAGTCACCACATACACTGACCGCGGAATATACGGTGCCCTCTGCACTGGTAGAGAAAGAACCGAATTAAAAAATAACCATCTTTCTCTGCCAACGCAGAGGGCACAGGGTATTGTGAGGTTTATATATAGACATAAAATAAAAGTGCAGTTAGAAAGGCACATTTTAAAATAAAAAATAAAAAAATAAAAAATTTTAAAAAAAAAGGAAATATTGAGTATATAAATAAAAAGTATAAAAGTCCCAACTCTGGCACTCTCACCAAAAAAACTAAACAGAACTAACCAGGGTGCTTCCTAGTGCAAAAGTATAACAGGTCAAAGAAGGAACCCTCACAGGGTTTTTAGTGAAAATGCCTCCTGGGGTCTAAATCTTGATAGAGAATCCAGGAGGATCAAAATGTTGATTTTCTTTGGGGTTTCTATGAATACACCTTTTCACTAAAAATCCTGTGAGTGCTCCTGAGAGATATGAGAGAGAAAAAGAGAGAAAGAGAAAGTAATAAAACATAAAAATCTTCCACTTTATAATTGAACACTTATGTCCCTTCGTAAGAATAAACTATATGGAAATAATGTAAAAATACAGACTTCAAGCCCCTAATTGTGCAGTCAGTTGGTCCCCTTCCAAGAAAAGGCATTGTACAGTAATTTACATTGTATGGTAATATACAGTTACACACTCCAATCAGAGCACAATGTATAAAAACAGGAAGAAGGCAGGGCAGGGAATGTTAAAATCCAGATCAGTAAATGTTCCTTTTGTGTGTTTATGTAAAAGATACCAGTGCTTCAAAATCCATGTGATTACCAAGAGCTGTCAATACTACTGCAAACACGTATCACTTTGCAGCCATACAAGGTAGCAGAAACCTCTGCAGAGACTTCTTCCCCCTCACTCGAGCCCACTCTGTTCTCTCAATGGCTTGCAACAAAGCCCTTTTGCCACCTATGTATGGTTAATCATGGAAACAGTGTCTTTCTTCACCAACAATGACTGTTCCACTGCAGAGTCTGTTGCAGCTGTGAGTAACATGCCCACAGGGAAAAGAGAAGCTTTACATCACGCTCAACCCCCACAAGACCCGAGACACTGCTAGCTTTCCAGCCACATCTTTAGAAGGATGTTAAAGGGACAGAGGAAGCAGCAAATCACTCCCATCCTTTGTTCAGGGACTGGGGAAAGTGTGGAGTGTGCAGATGGTAACAAGAAGAACTTACTTTGTAAATAGTGCAAAACCATTAAAACAAGACTGTAGCTGCTCAGAGTCCCGCGACTGGCATCGTTAATCCCATGATGACTTGCCCACTTTTTAACAACCAGTACTAGAGGCCGGACACGGTTCTCCACTGTAGAAAGAGTGAACAGGAGATTTATAGAGACCAAGTCAGAGATAAATGTCTGGCAAGCAGTATTACTCAATTCTTCTACAGCCTAGATATAAGGAACCAGGACAGTAACCTCTTGGAATCAGATATAGACAATAATAGAGAAAGTGTAACATGATATGGGTGTCATGGAGGTGCAAAGTTCTTTATTCATGTAACGAGGGGATGGGTAAGTATGCTATGTGGAGGGAGTGTTTCAGATCGGTGGATGTCATTGGGGTGCCGTTATCGTGCACATTCTGTCTGTAGAGTGGGTAGAGAACAGAGCAGTATGCTACGAGTGTAGAGTGGGTAGAGAACAGAGCGGTATGCTACGAGTGTAGTGTGGGTAGAGAACAGAGCTGTATGCTACGAGTGTAGTGTGGGTAGAGACCGTTAATAGCAATGTAAGAGAGAAGGGGGGGTTAAATGTAATGCATAATCCATATATCATATATTCTTATACACGTCGTTTATCACTAAAAGACATTTTTCGAAAATTTGCTAAAAATGACTAAGTTCATGGAGAAACCACAGATGGGAAGAAAACAAAAAACAATGAGAAGCTTGAAAAGAAAGCATGGAACTTACTGTGTGCATAGGTTCTGAGAAGGAATGTATTTCTGATCCCTACAACATTGTTTACATTCAAGTCAAACTCCACACCACTAAAAAGAAGAAAGACTATCAATTACTGCCAATAGCTGGAACCTTATCCCATAAATCAAAACCACTGAATCCACAACAACCCAACATTGAAACACAGACCAAGATTGAGACTTGCTACATTACAAGGAATATAGAAGAATATTTGCACACCTATATTCTCAACTGATGCGGGTTAAGTGAAGCATGTATTTATTAGGGTGTTGGGTGTTCAATGAGAAAAACCTGTTCCCCTAGCAGCTCCGCAATACCAAAAGAAAAATAAACCAAAAGCACAGCAAAGATTATTGCACAAACATGTTTTCTATAACTCATCTACTGAAATGAACACAAAGACAGTGTAAATGTGCAGAACAAGCATATAAACATACACAGAGCTACATGAACCTTATAATAAAGTGCTCACAGTATAAACGCTGTGAAGGACTATCCCCTTCACTTTCGACTCTTTGCATTTTTATGGAGTTTTATTTAGTTTATTTCGTTTGGCTCCCGAACCGAGACCACCCCAGAGACCCATTAGAATGTGGAACGTTATGGATCTTGTACAAAAACCGGAAAGGAACTAATTAATTGAATGCTTCACTGGGTGGCCACCATTCCGTGCATACGAACGCACGTGGTCGGGACAATGATGGCCATTTGGTCACCTGAACGCAGTCAGCGGGACTTGACCATTGAGTGTCTGGAACGCATTTCGGCCAGGCACTCTCCCGAACACCATGGACCTGCTGCCCGTTCCCTTGACATCTACACGAACGGCGTTTGGGAATTACATACTACCGAACAAGGGGAGCATTCTACACAAACCAGCTTCTGTCTATCTTATGCGGTTTTCGTACAGAACTCCACGAACGGAGACCGGCTTTTGCCACAATTTCCCTGGAACTATTTTGGGCTTGAACCTGGTGGCAGTCCAGTCAGAACTTCCCTGCGATGGCGATCCAAACCTACTGAACGAATCTGAGTGAATTTTGGATATATGGTTCACCCAGATCCAGGCTATCGAGGGATGTGACTTTTGTGGGGTTCCCATGTATGTTGAGGTACTCTTGGGGTGCTGTTGAATTTTATGTTTTTCTGTGCCTGAAGATAATTGAGTTTAGTACAGTTCCTGACTCAACTATCTCTCAGGCACAGAGTAGGAGTTTACTGACTGTATAAGTTTGATGCCTGTACTGCCAATAAACTGTCTTCTCCCAGCATTAAGCCTTGGCTCATGTGTGGGGGGTTATGCAACATCAGTGATATTGTGCCTGTGGGAATTGTTATCCAGCGTTACATCAGGATTCTCTAACAAGAATATTACACACAGACATCACACAGAGCAGAAAGAAAAATAACAGAATAAATACAATTACAAGTTTACCTGACTTTATCCCTGAACTTCACAATTGGCACTTTAGCTCGGATTAGCTGAGGTCTCTCTATATATGCTGTGAATCAAAACAATGGATTATAGAAAACCTGCAACGGTCGTAGACTGCTGCCGAAACACAAAAACATTATCCATCATTCTATTATTCACTTAAAGAAAAGTTATTTCCAGTAAGTTTTATGTAATTAACACTAACAATGCTCCCTCTGTTACTACTACTTTGGATGTCAGAGCTAAAGCTACACCGTTATCAATAAGAGACTACACATTACAATATGAAAGACATTTTGTATCCATGGCCAATGCTTTTTGTAACCTCACTCATACTTCAAGCCCTGACACACAGTCAAATATGAGCATATATAAAGAGAAGATTTATTAGAAGTTTTTTTAGCTGAGATTTTGTGGGGTTAGTGGTACAGACTTCCCTCCCATTTTTTTACTAAATCTATTTTTGCAGTATTCTTGTGATTACAGGGGTTCTTGCGGGGAGCCCAGAATTTATACCTTAAAAGGGAAAGAAGCATGGGTAATATTAACATCAAAAACTAAACTCAAAAGCACAGGGTACAGTTGCAAATATGCCAAAATAGGAAATCATTTCACAACATGTACATGATCATTTTCAAGCGACAAGTGCTTACAAAGTCTGGTGTAGAAGTGTTTTTGGAGTAAGCTGAGTATATGCCTTGCTTCGGTTTTCTGATTGACCTGCAGGGATGTAAAATTGTGCAAAGTAAGCAGCTTTGTTTTTCCTCTTCTCCAAGCACTAAAGTAATATTAATCCTCTTCTCCAAGCACTAAAGTAATACTAATACTATGACTCCCCTCCCCCAGCCACCCTTCAGCTGATCCCTAGTATTCTTACCTGGCGGTTTCTATTTCGAAAAGGGTTCAGGTATGTACAGGCAGGTTCTGATGCACATTTTGTTAATGTATGTGTTTGCCTGAATTTAAATAAGAATTATAAAAACCCAAAAACCTGTAAGTTTAAAGAGCCTGTGTAACTTCGCTATTATAGTTTCTCAAGTTATAATCCCAGTAAACACTACAGAAGCAATTACTGTGGAAGGAGCACAGCAGAGGGACCTTTAAAAATACAATTCCCCCTCTGAAGCTCTACAAAGGTAACACAAATCCAATCTTTTTTGACAAAAATCATGGTTAGCGAGGGTAATTCTAACAGTTCAATGAGGTATAGCTTCAGTCTGTACTGTTTGCAGTAATTCTGCCGATTATATTTAATGCTTCAGAAACTGACACAAAGTGATGTTACAGTTAGATGACAGTTTTGTCTCACCCATACCCTGTCTGTGATTAAATAAACATCACATCGCTATCTAGAGAAGCAAAAATGGTATAAAAAGGTGCAATACATACAATTACATAAAAAGTCATTTTCACAGCTTCAAATACTCTGCACAAGGCTGCCAGGACAGATCTTTTAAACTATACCTCAACTTTGAGTGGTACCATGGTGACATTGTGAGATAAAAAAAAAAGAAAAAAAAAAAAAAAAGAAAGGAGCATTTCAATACTAGATTTATTGTATTCCAGAGCACTAACTGCTATACTCATTTAACATTAGAAACTCTACAATGGAGCCATAAGTCCTCATAACGTGGGGAAGAAAAACCCAAACAGTAACAGTGTGTCTGGTGATACAAGATGAAATCCTGGCGCTCTGGGAGTACCAATACATTCATATACATTATACGTGTCGAAACGCTGCCTTTCACTTTGCCGGCATGCTGAGGATTTTGCGCATTCCTATATTCAGTGTGGTCTGGTTGAACAGAAATCCTTCCTTCAAGCACCCACACCAAAATTTGGATTGTAGGAGTGCAAATTTTTTTTTTAAACCGAATTAACTGCTATTTTGGGTCCGAAAGTACTCTATTCTGTTCCGTATTCATAAACAATATTGTATATTTTTGTTATATACACATGGGTGTACATATGTAAAAGATTTTTTTTGTGCAACATATTCCATTACTTTAACATAATTCAGGCAGCTGCGGTAGGTAACGTTACTTACCGGCTCCTCTTTCATAACCAAGCACAGATCAGCATCACTGCTCCTTGTGCCAAATCCATTCAGGGAAGAGCCCACTAGGTAAAGCCTGCTCTCTGGACAAAAAGAAAGCGTTCATTAGGATAGGGAAGAAACGAGACACAGTATTAAACCACACGCCATGAAAGCAGCACTTACGGGGGAAGATTTGCTGAATTTCCCTCTGGAGTTCTGCTCGACAAACATCTTTCTTCTTCAAGTCGCTTATCTGCTGCTGACATGCCTGGAACAAGTCCAATATCTGCTGGCTCAACTGTAATACAATCACAAAATAAATAAAACCAAAAATTCAGAGATTGTGTATAGATATTTACAATTAATCTCAAATAAAGTATATTAATAATGAGAGATGGTCACCAAATGCATTTCTAGTTCTAAAAGGGCATGAACAGACCGTGTCCCATTTTCAAGAGAAAATAAATACAGACACAAAGACAAAAATAAATGGGTCACACCAGGCTCCCACACACGTTAGATGCACTGTGTAGGTTAGGTTACAGTTATACTGGGTGGGTTTATATTATTAAAGGGACACTCCAGGCTCCCACACACGTTAGATGCACTGTGTAGGTTAGGTTACAGTTTGTTATAGTCTGTGGATTATTAAAGTGTTAGGGGCACACTTTCGCACACATTGGATTACAGTTACTAATTTTACTTAAAAAATAACCCAAGGTATGCAATTAGGGAAAATGTTTATATATATATATTTTTTTATTATTATTTATTTAAAGAAAGATCCAGCCTTACTTTGTAATATGCAGTTCTAAGAAGAGTCACTGCACACAAAGAATCTATCAGCCTAGAACAGGAACAACCCAAAAAGACTACATTTGGACTTTACGGACATTGAAACATTGGGTTTTTACGAATTCCTATAGCAGGCTGCTTGGTTCCACTGTGTGTGCCCAGACTCTTCTTGGAATGATCTACTCCAGGAAGTGTGCCATTGTTGTCGCTGAAGCCCTGTCTGTGGATCTAGGTCGATATGTGTGATTCCCCTCTGTACAGTTTTATGAACACGTGCTCCTCTCAACTGCAACATGTCCTCAACATGACTTTAGATCACACATTAGTAACTAGATCTGATGGAAACATGCAGTTCCAAATTTCTAGAACTGAAAGTTGCACAATGTTTTACTGTATTTGAATTGTTACTGGGTCAATACAGACTGTAAAGATGTTTAAACGGGTCATTTACAACAGACCTATTGAGACTGGACAAAAAGTAGTTTCTCTTACAGCAATGTTAATGGCTCTTTACAATAAAAATGTGGAACTCTACCCAAATAGATGTTTTAAAAAAAAAAAAAAAAGTCTGGATTTTTTTGGAACATAATATCGAAGGCTATAATTAAAACGTACGTGGGCTGTTTTTCCAATGAGAAATTAATTTCAGAGTTGCAACAATAGTCACATTTTAACAAAATCAAGGAGATTATTTCCAAATTAACATATGATCACAGCTCAGCAGATTCAACTCTCGCTCAGTTTCCCAATCTTTGTGTTCAATGGATGTCTTCATTATGACACTCAATACAGAAAAAATTGGCATCTATAGAGTGTTATCGCAAAAATCCAACGTCTACAAATCAAGGCAGCTTTTCACATGCAACAGGTCGGTACAAAAGCCTTCATCACAAATAAATTACAAGGAAGTAATGCAGTTTGGGCGCCATAACCATTAAAGGCCATTATAGAAGGCTCACAGCACATCCCCATTTGAGTGGTTTGACCAACGTGGAGATACCCAAGGCACCCACAAGCCTGGCCACTTTCCTTATTACTAATGAGAAGTTACACTTTAACAATCACTCCAAACACCTCGCTGAAGTGCTTTATGTGTGAAGAGTGTGATCCCGCTTTTTAAATTTTACAAAAAGTGCAGATTTCCACAGAGATTGTCAGATTCATAAATAAACCTTGTTAAACCCCTCTCCCCCTGGTTGTCAGTCAGCCATCTTCCTGGTTTGTTTAGCTCATGATAATGTTATTAGCATTAGAAAGTTTATTGGATGCCACTGACAGGCTGAGCGTGCTAATGTGCCAACTCCTTACCGGTACCATAATTAATACAACAGCATGGAATGGTCAAGGTGCTTAGACTAAAGCTTTCAAGCTATTTAAGAACTTACCTTCTCCTTAGCAATTGGTAAAGTAAGCTCAACATGGTCAAACAGCCACGAGTCTCTGGAAGATGAAGCACATCCATTTATCTCAGGAGCAGGAGACTGCAGCAGCGGTAATGCAATAGACCCTGGGAAAGATCTTCTGAGTTCATCTCTTAAAGGCACGGATTGGTGAATTGCAGGCGAAGATAGCTGAGGTGTATGAAAACGCTGTCTCTTGATGTCATAAACATTATTTCCCTCATCGCTTCTCCTCCTAAAAACAAAATGGACACCTTCTTTCCAATCTGTGACATTAGGAGCTCCACCACCCAGCAATAAATATATAGCAGCAACAAGCAGTGACTCTAGAGAAGGAATGATACAAAGTGCTCTGGAAAACGGGACAGCAACTCGCTTCCAGGATCTCAACACAAACCTTTCAAAACCTAGAACTGCTAAAAACAATTATTCAAACGACTACTTAATAATGGAAATATTAGCTGGAAAATTTAATAAAGAAAAGTGCACAAACTGAAACATTTCTGTGAATAAAAATATTTAATAAAAAATAAATAAAACTGGTTCCAAAAGCTTACCGTAATAATGATTCAATATGGAGAATCTGTAGAAGTAAAAATGGTAATCTGGGCAAAAAAGAACCTGTATTCACTGTGCACGTCTTTGAATTGTATTCAGATAAGCTTGTTACTGGCAGTCATCAAACATACTGCACTTAGAACCAAGAAGGTCCAACATGCCAAGCACAGAAAATAAGTCACATTTTAAGTTGTGTGTAACATACATAATGCGTGTAGAATATGTAAAATATATAGCACGTTAATAACCACTGTACAAAAATAATATCGTGTTAGAGTATAGATTGTAGATGCATTTCTGATGCATGCTTTAGACTTGAGAAAGGGAGATTCTCCCGAAAGCTTGTCATTCTGAATAAATAGGTATTACAAGATTCTGTTACGAAAACCCTAAACATTTGTTCCCGTTCAGAAACACTGACAAGTTAGAACTGACGACAGCAACAAGGGATTTGACTTACCAGGGTCCTAAAGGGATTTGTAAATAATAAGGTCTCTCAACCTTCTATTGTGAATGTAAAAATATCTCAGAGCCAGAAGGCTTTTCAGAGACAATTAAAGGGGTCCCAGGCGGACGCTAAAACTGCAAGGTTTCTCCCCAAGCAGCCAAGCAGTTCACACAGTAAAGTTAGATGGAGATTGTGTTTTGAATAAATAAATAATTCAAGTCTATTTTATCTTATGTAATAAGTGCCTTCAAATATAGGGTAATGTTTTTACTGATTTTCATTGTTAATTTTTTATTTATTAATTTTTTTAAATAGGCATTTTTATCTCCATGATTGTTCCGGTTGTCTGCTTACAAGTAAAGTATTAAAAGGACACTGAAGGCCCTGTAATTGCGGCATCTCACTAAAGTGGTTATAGTTTCTGTAGTCCCTTTGCGCCATTCCTTTCATTCAGTGTTAAACGTTTTTAATGCTAAACGAGAGTCCCACTCCCTCATGCCCTCTGTGCTGCTTTGTCTAATGAGGAAGTATTAGCGTGGGCAGCAATGGACAGCAGTGATTGTGTGAGTGTCAGCTGACCACAATCAGCCTATCACAGCTTACATTGCAGCTATGCATCAGCATGGCTTTAGAAGGTAGTGTGTGATCTCTGCTTTGTCATACATCAAGTGGGGGTCCGGGCTGTCAAGGATCCTTAATCGGTATTAACCCTCGGTCAGGCGCAACTGATCCAACAGGCACAGCCAATGTTTGTTTTTTGTCCTACCAAGTGTAAACATTCATTATGTATATAACATGCTACTTTTTATTGTAATAAATGCTCAGAAATTGCTTTCGCCAATGTTGTAGAGCAAATGGAATAATAAACATGCTTTTATTTGAGTAAAAAGTTTGTTTTGTAAAAGTGGCCTATTAGGCACAATGCGCCCGATCCTGTTCTTACTCACATTGTGCCTGACCGAAGGTTAAACTGCATAAAAATAGTTTAACATTGAATAGCGAGACAGTGTCAGGGGATGCCAAGCACTGTATCCAATTCAATGAGATTAAATGGTTATAGTGCCTAGTGTCCTTTATATATTCAAATAAAATGAAGAAAAAAAAAGCCTTTCCCCAAAGCAGCATATTAGCGTTTTTGACACATTTCTGTAGTATGTCATTTAAAATTCTCTCACAGACATACCCTCAAGCCATCAGACAGCCGTTGCCAGATTACTTGACTCTGAAGCCTGTGACTCTAGTGACTACAATGTCTCATTCTTTATAATCCACCATTGGCACCAGCATCCTCAGACTAGTTTGTCTATTTGTACTGTTTGAACGTTTAGTCGATCCTCCATTGCTCTCCTCTCGATTTCAAAGTTAAAGACTTTCATCAAAAAGGGACACTATAGTCACCAGACCCACTATACCTTTAATGTAGTGGTTCTGGTATGTATAGTGTGTCCCTACAGGCTTTTCAATGTAAACACTGCCTTTTCAGAGAAAAAGCAGGGTTTACATTGCTTGCTAGTGACACCTCTAGTAGCAGTCACTCAGAGGGCCACTAGAGGTGCTCACTCGCATTCTGTGTCTTCACGCTCTGCATGGAGGCGCTGAAAATTTCCATATAGATCCATTGATTCAATGCATCTCTATGAGAAGATGCTGATTGGTGCAGCACATGTGCAGAATCCCCCCAATGCTTTCCTATGGGAGGCGGACCGAGCCACTTCCAGACCGGTGTGGCGTGGGAGAAAGAGACACTATAGTGCGCCTTTAATGTACATTGAGCTAAATACGCAGGTTTCACAATCATGTTTTAGACTACGACTCCTGTGTTTGGTTTGGTTTTTGTATTTAGCTCTTGTATAGGTAAAAATAACTAAAACAAACAATCGGTCAGTTTTACACAGAGGAAACTGTTTCCACACAGCTCTGACACTTTGCTCAGGATTTTGCAATGTTTTTCTAAAGCTACGGAGATTCCACCAGAGACCAGGCTTTGCTCCACAAATACACTCTCCAAGGAGACACCAGACACTTTGGAACATTTTACCAGTAAAATGAATGGTATAGTCTAACAAAGCTACTGGCATATATAAAGCTCCATCATAATACGTAGCATTTTATAAAAATTATCTTCAAAGTACACTCCAAGTACCATAACCACTACAGCGTTTTGTACACTCCCTCTATCAACACTTAAATTAAATGGGTGAATACAAGGTGTGTTGTGGGACATATAAAGCAAAAGGTGTTTACAGCAAGCGTCGTAGCTCACACCCAACTCTACCTGCCATGGAGACAGCCCTACATCCCATATCCTGCCAAATCAGCAATTCTGCTGAGCCTCCAGCCTTGATGTGGAACAGGAAATATTGAAAAAGCTCTCTACAAGGTCTCGGGGAAATTTTATTTCGAAATGCTCCCAGGTACAAATGCCACTAAAAGTTCCCTTATTCAGTTTTATCTATAGTAGAACACGTTAAACGGTACACATATTTGGACTGTAGTTTAATTTGCATTCTTGTCACAATGCCTTGTCTATTAAACATCATGCAGCCCACCGCTGCGTTAATGTGGTTCAGTAAAATAACACTGGCACATATGGATGTGCGCTGACTACTGTTAAATTCAGGAAGAACAGCCTATCCCAAAATACTTCATTGAAAACACAAGAAGCGAACTGGACTTTAAAAGGCTCAAAATATCCAAAATACAGGCACGACTTAACAGTGGATGCAATCTGCTGACAAGATTTATCCACGCATTTTGGAACCAAATTTTACTTCATCCAGACAAATGCATTATGTGCAGATCATGAAATAGAAAATATCCAACCCCTCAATAGAGAGAAGTCCATCCTTAACATGATCATAGAGAACCCATTAAGTGATAGAAGCTAAGGTAGCTTACTGTATGGCAATGGATTCCATGTAGGAGTACTCACATTTTAAACACTAGAGAATAGAAACTCTATACACGACATAGGCTTACCGAGATCTACACAGCCTATATGAAAACATATAGGACAGGGGGACACAATCTTCACACACAAAGCACTTCAGCAAGCCTGTGTGCTTTAAGGGTTTGGATTGTCCCTTTAAGTACTGTATTCAACAGGTTAGTAAACTTAAATGAAATCTGCCAGCCTCGATCTACTTACAGCGGTTACACTTATGAATCACTCACCTTCAGTCCACCGACACACCTATTACTGTCGATATTGATTGGCCAGGCTTTGGGAAGTTTCCTCAAGTAGTGCACACCTCCTTTAGGACGTCAACACACTAGCTTGTCTACAGCATGCTGGCGTCTGAGCAGATAGAGGTCAGCCACTCCATTCCCATACTCGCCAGTCAGTGCTAGCAGCTCTGGCTAGGGAGCTTACATAGTAAACTCAGTGCATGCGCTGTACTTGGTACGAATGGAGAGAAAAGCTAGGTCCCTTCTCTTCCTGTCAATCAATTTATCAGCATAGTGTCTATGCTGAAGAATTAAGTTACAGGTAGGAGAAAAAAAAAACAAAAAAAAAAAAAAACGTATTCACTCTCTTTTTCTCTCCCAACCTATAGAAAAGCTGCTAGCACAATGTATAGATTAAATTCCATGTTCTCTCTAAAAAGAGCATGAGTGGTTTGTGGAGGGTGACAGATCAACTTTAAGTCAAATATTTCACAATAGGCAGCATACTCCACAATAAAAAGAAAACTTACTTCCGGTTCTGGAACGTGGAAGATGAAGAGCCAGGACTGACCATAGGGTTGTGATTTCCATAAGACCATGGTTGTGATGACATTGGTGGCAAAATATTCCCATTCATGAGCATTCTAGAAAGACTGAGAAAGTTCAAGTGTTAGAGAAGAGATGAAACAAGCATGAAATTAACAAGGACAGACCTACATGCCCCACAAAGACAAGACAGATCAACAACGATGGTGGTGAAAACCAGCACCTGTGGCCTGAACACTATTTTATATGACAGCACCAACATTATGTGCACAATATAAATACATCGGGTTAAGTTACACTGCTCACCAAATGGCAGGACAACTTTCATTTATTGCAGGTACACTGTCAGAAACTTTAATTCCATCATCACTGGACCTAGGCAAAGACCACAATTTAACCATTTCTTATTTTCTGAAATACTGAACCTTTTACAAATATGTCATTGTATCATTGCTCGTTGACCAATGGCAAGAAAATCTAACAGGAGTATATAAAACACGCACTGGGCCAGTATCCACAGACTTGGCTTGTAAGCAGGAGTGATATATGCCTGGGCTATACAAGCAATAGCCATTTCTCAAAAAAAAGATGCCTAAAAGCACTGAGCACCATAAAAGAAGATAGTTTTCAGCAGGTTGGACAATTCTCAGTGAGGACACGGTATAGATACAATTTTAGCAAAATGAAATAAATCAATCACTGATTGTGTCCTTAGATAACAAACTAGGCACCACAACAGTTATCGAATTGTACACTAAAAATCCTTAAAAAAACATCACATCATCTATATATAACAAAATTAGGATGTTGGGTTTTCCAGGATGTGTACAATAATTGGACGTTTGCTAATTAAGAAAGGAAACACGATATAAGAGCTACAAAAGACCAATACACAGGGTTAAATGAACTCCAAATCTGGATTCCTAACAGTATAGTGCCCTTAGAGCCCCCCTCTAGCAGATAAAGAGTTATAAAGGGTTAAAAAAAAAAAAAAAAAAAAATTATTACGCTAAGAGTGAGAATGTCCTGTGTCATTAGTGGGAGTCAAACTTCATATTATATTACAGGAGAGGACAGGGCGTAATATAATATTACAGGAGAGGTAGTGGAGAGTGGAGGGAGCCCAGGTGGGCGCCCGGGAGTTCTATTAAAATCCCCTCATGGACAGCTGAGCCAGGCAGGCGGCTCACTGAGTGCGCAGAGGGAGACAATCATCTCCCTTGCGCACCCCGCAGTGCTGCCAGGACCCAGAATATGAAGTCACTCTGGTGACTATAGTGTCCCTTTAAGAATCACATTTTTGTCATTGAAAAACCTGGCTCCTCACTATTTAGCTGGCTCCTAGATTCCGAGCAAATTAGTCCAGGCTTGCATTACGTTATATTATAGGAAGCTCCCCAGCAGCTCCATTCCTCCAATTTGCATGACATTCCTCATGGGTATCAGACAGAGATATAGCAGAGGATGATGGGAGATGTAGTCCACACAAAGCTTGCAGTGCCCATGGTTAGCAGCCACTCTGCCATTGGACTACAACTTCCATGATGCTGTGGCAGGCATTGCATGCAGGGAATGGTAGCTCACACCATGCAATTGGACTATAACTCCCATGATGCTGTGGCAGGAAGTGCATGCTGGGAGTGGTAGTTAACACTCTCTCCCATTAGACTATAACTCCCATGGTGGGCGGTGCAAGCTGGGAGTGGTAGTTCACACTCACTGCCATTAGACTATCACTCCCATGGTGCCCTGGCGGGCAGTGAATGCTGGGAGTGGCAGTCCCCTGGCCCTCTCTCTCCCGCGGTGCATGCTGGGGGCGCTAGTCCCCTGGCCCTCTCTCCCGCGGTGCATGCTGGGAGTGGCAGTCCCCTGGCCCTCTCTCTCCCGCGGTGCATGCTGGGAGTGGCAGTCCCCTGGCCCTCTCTCCCGCGGTGCATGCTGGGAGTGGCAGTCCCCTGGCCCTCTCTCTCCCGCGGTGCATGCTGGGAGTGGCAGTCCCCTGGCCCTCTCTCTCCCGCGGTGCATGCTGGAGTGGCAGTCCCCTGGCCCTCTCTCCCGCGGTGCATGCTGGAGTGGCAGTCCCCTGGCGGGCGGTGCATGCTGGGAGTGGCAGTCCCCTGGTCCCGCGGTGCATGCTCTGGCGGGCGGTGCATGCTGGGAGTGGCAGTCCCCTGGCGGGCGGTGCATGCTGGGAGTGGCAGTCCCCTGGCGGGCGGTGCATGCGGGATGCAGCCCCCGGCGGGCGGTGCATGCTGAGTGGCAGTCCCCTGGCGGGCGGTGCATGCTGGGAGCGGCAGTCCCCTGGCCCCCGCGGTGCATGCTGGAGTGGCAGTCCCCTGGCGGGCGGTGCATGCTGGGAGTGGCAGTCCCCTGTGCAGTCCCCTGGCGGGCGGTGCATGCTGGGAGTGGCAGTCCCCTGGCGGGCGGTGCATGCTGGGAGTGGCAGTCCCTGGCGGGCGGTGCATGCTGGGAGTGGCAGTCCCCTGGCGGGCGGTGCATGCTGGGAGTGGCAGTCCCCTGGCGGGCGGTGCATGCTGGGAGTGGCAGTCCCCTGGCCCTCTCTCTCCCGCGGTGCATGCTGGGAGTGGCAGTCCCCTGGCGGTGCATGCTGGGAGTGGCAGTCCCCTGGCGGGCGGTGCATGCTGGGAGTGGCAGTCCCCTGGCGGGCGGTGCATGCTGGGAGTGGCAGTCCCCTGGCGGGCGGTGCATGCTGGGAGAGGTAGTACTCACTTGGTGCTGACATGTTTGTGGAAGCTGAGCTGGGCCTGCAGCAGCTGGCTGGGGCTGTACCCGGAGTGCGGCAGCGGGGGGCGGCCGGGGGAGTTAGGGAACATGCTCCTCGCGGATGGGGACACACATCAGCATGGAGGGGCCGGGGCTCCGTCCGGAGCGGAGGAAATGGCGGCCACCGGGCTGCTGCGATGACGTCACGGCACGGCGAGCGCTTCCGGGGGAGCTGGGGAAGATCGGCCGCTGCCATGGTAACCGCGCGCACCGCCCACCAGTAAGAACAGCCGACTTCTCCAGAGCGCCCTCTGCCTGCTCAGCACTTGTAGCGCTCAGCCACTGCGGGTCTCCGAGCAGCGCCACCTGCCGGCAGCCTCCAGGACTGCAGCGCTCATTGCACTCAGTGCTCCCAGCCAGGACAGAGGGAGCCATGCTGATAATTAATTAATAATAATAAAATAATAAGTATTAAATATTCCAGGCAGGACAGAGGGAGCCATGCTGATAATTAATTAATAATAAAATATTAAATATTCCATGCAGGACAGAGGGAGCCATGCTGATAATTAATTAATTAATAATAAAATATTAAATATTACAGGCAGGACAGAGAGAGCCATGCTGATAATTAATTAATAATAATAAAATTATAAATATTAAATATTCCATGCAGGACAGAGGGAGCCATGCTGATAATTAATTCATAATAATAAAATAATAAATATTAAATATTACAGGCAGGACAGAGAGAGCCATGCTGATAATTAATTAATAATAAAATATTAAATATTCCAGGCAGGACAGAGGGAGCAATGCTGATAATTAATTAATTAATAATAAAATAATAATTATTAAATATTCCAGGCAGGACAGAGGGAGCCATGCCGATAATTAATAATAATAAAATAATAAATATTAAATATTCCAGCCAAGACAGAGAGAGCCATGCTGATAATTAATTAATAATAATAAAATAATAAGTATTAAATATTCCAGGCAGGACAGAGGGAGCAATGCTAATAATTAATTAATATTAAAATAATAAATATTAAATATTCCAGGTAGGACAGAGGGAGCAATGCTAATAATTAATTAATATTAAAATAATAAATATTAAATATTCCAGGCAGGATAGAGGGAGCAATGCTAATAATGAATCAATATTAAAATAATAAATATTAAATATTCCAGGCAGGATAGAGGGAGCAATGCTAATAATTAATTAATAATAAAATAATAAATATTAAATATTCCAGGCAGGATAGAGGGAGCAATGATAATAATTAATTAATAATAAAATAATAAATATTAAATATTCCAGGCAGGATAGAGAGAGCAATGCAAATAATTAATCAATATTAAAATAATAAATATTAAATATTACAGGCAAGACAGAGGGAGCAATGATAATAATTAATTAATAATAAAATAATAAATATTAAATATTCCAGGCAGGATAGAGGGAGCAATGTTAATAATTAATCAATATTAAAATAATAAATATTAAATATTCCAGGCAGAGGGAGCAATGCTCATAATGAATTAATATTTAAATATTAAATCTTCCAGGCAGGATAGAGGGGGCCATGCTAATAATGAATTAATATTAAAATAATAAATATGAAATATTCCAGGCAGGATAGAGGGTGCAATGCTGATAATGAATTAATATTAAAATAATAAATATTTAATATTCCAGGCAGAGGGAGCAATGCTCATAATGAATTAATATTTAAATATTAAATCTCCCAGGCAGGATAGAGGGAGCAATGCTAATAATTAATTAATAATAAAATAATAAATATTAAATATTCCAGGCAGGGAGCAATGCTAATAATTAATTTATATTAAAATAATACATATTAAATATTCCAGGCAGGACAGAAGCAGCCTTTATAGTAGTATATTAAAAATATAAATATACTATTTCAAGTAGAGATAGAGGAAAATACTAATAATAATTATATATTTAAATATTAATCTTCCAAGCAGAATAGAAGTAGCAATACTAATAGTAGTAATATTTATGTATATACATCTTCAAGCAGAGATACATAGAAACATAATACTAATATGAAATAGAATAAAATAATAAATATTAATATTCAAAAGCAGAACAGAGAACAATACTATAGTAAAATTATATTAAAATAATAAATAATCCAGAAGGCAGGATAGGGGAGCCGTACTGGTGAGTGTATTGGAAATATTAAATATTCCAGGCAGGACAGAGGGCACAATGCTAATAATTAATTAATATTAAAATAATAAATATTAAATATTCCAGGCAGAGGGAGCAATGCTAATAATTAATTAATATTAAAATAATAAATATTAACTATTCCAGGCAGGATAGAGGGAGAAATGCTAATAATGAATTAATATTTAAATATTAAATCTTCCAGGCAGGATAGAGGAAGCAATGCTAATAATGAATGAATATTAAAATAATAAATATTAAATCTTCCAGGCAGGATAGAGGGAACAATGCTAGTAATTAATTAATATTAAAATAATAAATATTCCAGGCAGGATAGAGGGAGCCATGCTAATAATTAATTAATATTAAAATATTAAATATTCCAGGCAGGACAGAGGGCACAATGCTAATAATTAATTAATATTAAAATAATAAATATTAAATATTCCAGGCAGGACAGAGAGAGCAATGCTAATAATTAATTAATAATAAAATAATAAATATTAAATATTCCAGGCAGAGGGAGCAATGCTAATAATTAATTAATATTAAAATAATAAATATTAAATATTCCAGGCAGAGGGAGCAATGCTCATAATGAATTAATATTTAAATATTAAATCTCCCAGGCAGGATAGAGGGAGCAATGCTAATAATGAATTAATATTTAAATAATAAATATTAAATCTTCCAGGCAGGATAGAGGCAGCAATGCTAATAATTAATCAATATTTAAATAATAAATATTAAATATTCCAGCCAAGACAGAGAGAGCCATGCTGATAATTAATTAATAATAATAAAATAATAAGTATTAAATATTCCAGGCAGGACAGAGGGAGCAATGCTAATAATTAATTAATATTAAAATAATAAATATTAAATATTCCAGGCAGGACAGAGGGAGCAATGCTAATAATTAATTTATATTAAAATATGAAATATGAAATATTCCAGGCAGTATAGAGGGTGCAATGCTGATAATGAATTAATATTAAAATAATAAATATTAAATATTCCAGGCGGGATAGAGGGAGAAATGCTAATAATTAATTAATGTTAAAATAATAAATATTAAATATTCCAGGCGGGATAGAGGGGGCCATGCTAATAATGAATTAATATTAAAATAATAAATATGAAATATTCCAGGCAGGATAGAGGGAGCAATGCTAATAATGAATGAATATTAAAATAATAAATATTAAATATTCCAGGCAGGACAGAGGGAGCAATGCTAATAATCAATTAATATTAAAATAATGAATATTAAATATTCCAGGCAGGACAGAGAGAGCAATGCTAATAATTAATTAATAATAAAATAATAAATATTAAATATTTCAGGCAGGGAGCAATGCTAATAATTAATTTATATTAAAATAATACATATTAACTATTTCAGGCAGGATAGAGGGAGAAATGCTAATAATGAATTAATATTTAAATATTAAATCTTCCAGGCAGGATAGAGGTAGCAATGCTAATAGTTAATTAATATTTAAATAATAAATATAAAATCTTCCAGGCAGGATAGAGGGAGCAATGCTAATAATGAATGAATATTAAAATAATAAATATTAAATATTCCAGGCAGGACAGAGGGAACAATGCTAATAATTAATTAATATTAAAATAATAAATATTCCAGGCAGGATAGAGGGAGCAATGCTAATAATTAATTAATATTAAAATATTAAATATTCCAGGCAGGACAGAGGGCACAATGCTAATAATTAATTAATATTAAAATAATAAATATTAAATATTCCAGGCAGAGGGAGCAATGCTAATAATTAATTAATATTAAAATAATAAATATGAAATATTCCAGGCAGAGGGAGCAATGCTAATAATTAATTAATATTAAAATAATAAATATTAAATATTCCAGGCAGAGGGAGCAATGCTCATAATGAATTAATATTTAAATATTAAATCTCCCAGGCAGGATAGAGGGAGCAATGCTAATAATGAATTAATATTTAAATAATAAATATTAAATCTTCCAGGCAGGATAGAGGCAGCAATGCTAATAATTAATCAATATTTAAATAGTAAATATTAAATATTCCAGGCAGAGGGAGCAATGCTCATAATGAATTAATATTTAAATATTAAATCTTCCAGGCAGGACAGAGGGAGCAATGCTAATAATGAATTAATATTAAAATAATACATATTAAATATTCCAGGCGGGATAGAGGGGGCCATGCTAATAATAAATTAATATTAAAATAATAAATATGAAATATTCCAGGCAGGATAGAGGGTGCAATGCTGATAATGAATTAATATTAAAATATTAAATATTCCAGGCAGGACAGAGGGAGCAATGCTCATAATGAATTAATATTAAAATAATACATATTAAATATTCCAGGCGGGATAGGGGGCAATGCTAATAATGAATTAATATTAAAATAATAAATATGAAATATTCCAGGCAGGATAGAGGGTGCAATGCTGATAATGAATTAATATTAAAATAATAAATATTAAAAATTCCAGGCGGGATAGAGGGAGAAATGCTAATAATTAATTAATATTTAAATATTACATCTTCAAGGCAGAATAGAGGTAGCAATGCTAATAGTTAATTAATATTTAAATAATAAATATAAAATCTTCCAGGCAGGATAGAGGGAGCAATGCTAATAATGAATGAATATTAAAATAATAAATATGAAATATTCCAGGCAGGACAGAGGGAGCAATGCTAATAATTAATTTATATTAATATAATAAATATTAAACATTCCAGGCAGGATAGAGGGAGCAATGCTAATAATTAACTAATGTTAAAATAATAAATATTAAATATTCCAGGCGGGATAGAGGGGACCATGCTAATAATGAATTAATATTAAAATAATAAATATGAAATATTCCAGGCAGGATAGAGGGTGCAATGCTGATAATGAATTAATATTAAAATAATAAATATTAAATCTTCCAGGCAGGATAGAGGGAGAAATGCTAATAATTAATTAATAATAAAATAATAAATATTAAATATTCCAGGCAGGGAGCAATGCTAATAATTAATTTATATTAAAATAATACATATTAACTATTTCAGGCAGGATAGAGGGAGAAATGCTAATAATGAATTAATATTTAAATATTAAATCTTCCAGGCAGGATAGAGTTAGCAATGCTAATAGTTAATTAATATTTAAATAATAAATATAAAATCTTCCAGGCAGGATAGAGGGAGCAATGCTAATAA